ACTTTCATTGTCTGCAAAAGAGCTGCTCTCAGTTTACACCAGCTTAAGCCTTGTACCCCCACTCTGCATTCAGTATTAGCCACCTTAGGTTTAACCACGTAACAGCCTCGAGAAGAGGAGAAAGTTATGCCAATCCAGACAGGAATTCCTCTGTGCTCCATCCCACTCAGAGAAGTTTTGGATATCACAAACAGATAATGACAGATGGTGGCACACAGACACCCCTGTGCTAAACTAAAACCCAGCAGCTGAGGGTCTCCCTATATATCTGAGAGGGTGGGCTCACATCTATTCCTCCATTTCAGCTTTCAAAAGTTTGAGGAGAAAAAGCTGGAGGTTGCTGACTGCTTGTTTGGTTTTTTAATCTTTAGCCAAATTTTTTTTTTTTATTTTAACATGCTGTATTTGCCTGGCCAGTTTAGTATAGATACAGGTTTCTTCACCAGCCCCAGCCACTGAAGTATCTCAGGCAGCTTGCCCTACTCTAAGAAAAAACCAGAATAGAAATATCACTACCTTTTATTCAAGGCTGAATAGTAGGAGCTGCTTCCATAAGGGCAAGATACACTCTCAAATAGGCAAACCATATCTGGTCTATGTGACAAGCAGAAGCTCCCCACTGTCCCTGGGCTTTGCACCTGAGGAGTTGTTTGCCTCAGTGTAATGCAGAAAACAGTTCTTGAACCTGCATCACACTACCTGTAAGAACACAGCCTGCTCCAGGACTCCCACTACCAAGCTGAGCTCCAAGAAGTGGGGACAAAGCAGAGTGCACTTAAGGAGCTGATGTGATGAACAGCAAACAGAAATGTGATTGTGGCTAAAGGGAAACTGAGGACTCTCTATTCCTACATGTACCTATGTGTTCAAGAAAAAGCTCTTACTCCTTTTAACGGGCAGTATTCAGTGACTGACTTGAGGATCCCCCTCTCTTTAATAAGTACATAACAAAAAGTGTTATCAGGAAGCAAGGAGTGTGGGCAGAGAGCAAATGTGGCCAGCAACCATGACCACTCATGTAGTCCGTACAAGTCTGGTGCACCAATAAATGTGTGAAAGTGACAACAGCTTTAGTAGGAGAAAACTGATTACCCAAAGGCAAGTGAGGTGATCTTGCCATTGGTACACTCTACAGGCCTGTGGAAGACTACCAGGGACCAAATCTTGGATTCTTTGCATCCCCATGAGTGTTGTAAACACCTAACGATTGGCTGACTTTGGGGAGGGAACACACATTTCCATATCTTTGCACAACAAAACTTTCAAAAGATTTGTTTTCATCCTTGTGTAAAGAAAGGAACATAATTTTAAATCTCAGAATTTCAAGGAACAGAACGATTGTTTACGACACATGTTTGTAAAGAAAATAGTGCAGTTACGTCAAAGTTCGTAATTTACCCTTACAGTACAAAGGTAAAGAGCCTTCAAACTAGACTGGCTGAACTAAGAGCCAACGACAGCTACATTTTAACCTTGCATTAAAAAAAAATTTTAAAAAACCCAAAACAACAACAACAAAAAAAAATTGACTATAACTATAAGAAGGCCTACTTGCCCCATCTACTGGCCATTGGGAAGACTGGATTTACCCTGCAATTAAAAGCATTACCACCGAGGCCACAATTCAGTAAATTCTCAGGTTATCAGTTCTAAATTTAAACACATGCAGAAGTGCTACTGAGAGTCCTAAGCACAGAAGGGCTCTACTGAAATGGAGCCTGAGGCCAATTATTTATCATGGCAGAAATAGAAACAACAAAGAAAGAGAAAAATGTATTACTTTCAAAAGAAATACTAGGGCAGTCTATTCACTAACACTGGTTTGTTAACCTTGAAAAATTAAACAAACATGCCTTCTTTCGTTCTGAAGTGGGCCAAGGTAAATTAATGCTATAGAATAGCAACCTGCGTAACCCCTGTCACAAAGCAGCCATATATACTGCAGCTCAGTAAGTTCATCCTAAAAGGTTACCATGCCATCTTAAGGATTTTTAAAATAAGCATTTGTTTAATAAATAGTTAGATAGCAAGTTTGGTTCCCTAAAGGCCTGTTTACCGTATATTTTTCTTCTCTGTATGCAGTGAATCCATCCTTCTGAAGTGGGTCTATTCCTTTGAGGAACAGGCTGATGTCTAAAGGGAAAGCATAACGTTTGGGTGACTTGATGAGGCCTTTTACACTAGTCTAGGAGGAAGACTTGGTGGATTTCTCTTTTTTACCACATGCCTCACTCTCATCATGTTCTTCAAGGGCAGTATTGTAGCATCCCTCTGCTCCATGACCTCCCAGGCTGGTTGCAGGTTCAGTCAGATGTACCTAGAGAAATGCTGCAGCCAAGGGGAAGACCATCAAATCCCCTGGCAGCAAGCTTCCCACCAGGTAACCCAATATACCTGCAAGCTGACTCCCATGAGATCTTACAGCCAGCCTCTCTCCACGTGACCCCAGCAAGCAGCAGCACGTGCCAGTCTGCTTAGGCAGATAGTCAGCATGCAACTATATTTCCTGCAAGGAACACAAGCCTCCTGCTCAAAGGACTTCTGAGTCTCGTAGATTCTAAGCAGAAACAGGGCTATCAGTATATCTATCTAGGCCCAGGCATGAAAGCTCAGAAAGGAGTTATTGTCACACCAGAACAGAGAATGATGAACCATCTTCTTCAGCAAGCAGAGCTCAACATTGTCTTCAAGAAGTACAGGTGCAATCCCCTGTTTTGAGGAGCTATGACCCTAGTTACCCAGGAAACTCTAACAATAAACTGGCCACAGCAGGGAATAGACTGTAAAAGAGGAGAGGGAACAGCATCCCAGCCCCACTGAGGCTCCTTCAACTCAGGATAAATCAGAGAAGCAATTATGGCTGCATTTAAATATATAATATAAATATATAATTTCTGTATCAGACAGGGAAAGAAATCATTTGCACTAGATCTAGACCTGCTGGTAAACCAAATGATAGGTTGTACATGAAATTTCATAAAGTACATGCACATGTATAATCACAAAAGGTTTGCTTAGCCCCATTCCAGACATATATTTCATGATGAGTTTTGCCCTAAGGGGATGTCAAATGTTTCAGAAATCACTCAAGTCCAAACTCTATATAAAAAAAAAAATAATAATGCACAACAGTGCCTTGGTGCAAATGCTTTCACAACCTCACAATTACAGTGTAAGGCTGGGATCCAGCATTTCTAGATTACATTCCTGGAGGTCACAAAAAGGGCCAAGAGATTTTTCAGCTGAAGCATGTGATTTCTAGCATCCCAGTTATCTAGGGACTGAGGTAAAAGAAATAGTCAGTGTCCAGAAGTATCTGCAAGGAAAACCCACTGAAGACAGGTCCTGAGAGCTCTCTGAGCATCCCAAGCCTGCTGAGAGTTCCTTACAGGCACACAGCCACTTGGCATACATGCACCACACATCAGAGGAAGCAAAGAGCTGACAGCTAAGGTGTCACTTGGGACAGTGCACAGAGATGACGACTACAGACAGTGCCCAGAACTGCCTGCAGTGCAAGCTGGTTTCCCCAAGAGCAGATGTTTTGGGAGTCCTGTATCTAAGCTCACCTCAATAATTCCTCATTCTCAAGGGACAAGTAACACCACCTAAGAGTACTTCAATTCTTCAGCCTATAAAACACTGAGTAGTATAAGAAAGGGCAGTACTTACACCTGAGGGAACAGGTGCCAACTCTGCCTGGGCTTGTGAATTTATGCACAACTCTCTGTGCATGAAGACCCACCCAGAGAAATATAACTCCCAATAGCTCAGGATTCCTCTCTCCTGAGAGAATGCACAACATTTAGCTCCATGAGCTTCAATCCTGTTGTGCTGGGAGGACCCCCTGAGAGCAGCTGGTCCTGTGGAAGCTGCTAGAAAAGGAGTCATAGCAGACAGCTGTCAAAGAGGCAACTCTGCTGAAGAAAGACACTGAAAGGATGCCAGCCCGTTTTTAATGGCCACAGAGTAGTACTGCTCTCAAAAACAACCTCCACAGACAAAAGGCAGACTTCATTAATTCTCTAGTCCCTCATGGCAGACACCTTTGACAGACCAAGTTTTGGCTTATTAGGCTGGGAAAACCCACCCTGTTCCCTATGCAAAACCAGATTTAGACAACTGACTTGCATCATGGGCCCAAAGCTTATTTTGTCAATCCAATCTGATAAATAACCTAAAACTGGCAAAAGCAAATGTTTGGCAAGAGCTTTGGATATAAACTAGGCTCTAAATGAAAGCTCCAATGATGACTGCACATAAACCATTTATTCTTTCTTTCACTGTTGCCATCACTGTACATGAGACAATCCTTATCCCACAACTTCCCATCTCTGCCCCATTTTCAGTGTTCAGAAACAATCCTCAATTCTTATTTACATTGCACTTGACAGATTGAGTACCCTCTTTTTTTCTTTTTGCAAAGTAAGTTGAATGAAACATACTTATTCCTCATTGTGAATAACTGCATAATTAATTATGGTAGTTATATACAGTACATTTGAGGGGGGAAAGCCGCACTGTTCTCTAAAAGTATTTTCTTGGTTACTTAACAGAACTGAATATAATTTAAACTTTTCCCTTGGAAGAAAGTCTACATTCTTCAGCTGTGAACTTAGGTTTCTGCTCTGTTTTGGGGGTTTTGTTTCAATTTTTTTGTTTAGTAATAAGAATAATGCACAAGAAGAATGCAAAGACAGGGTTCTCTAGAGACTGAATCACATATTTTATATCAAAAGAAAATTTGTTTCACTGGAAAATAAGCAGTCCAGAAAATGCCAAATGAGAAGTTTCACTCTACATCTAGACACTTGGGAGTAGGTAATTATCAAGCTGACTAGACCCTGTTTTGGGGGTTCTTCTGGAAAGCAGGGGTACTATATCTTTAGCAGCAGACATACTAAAATTCAAGACAAAAGAAACATGCAAAGCAACTAGTGTACTACTTCTTGCTACTACCACAAGCATTAAAAACATTCCTAAACATGTCACTCACTCACCAAAAAACAAACATCAGAAGGAACTGGAAATCACTGCTTTGCCACCACTCAGTTCTGACACTGTTGCTTTCCGCCTCCTTGCAGAAGTCAGGCAGCACCTGTCCAAGCACCACCTGCATCAGGCCACACTGTAATGTCCCACAGGCTCAGCCAGCCCACTTTGACATAAAACCAGGCACAAGTGCTGGAATCAGCCCAGGGGCTGAGTACCAGCTGGCACATCTGAAATGATTTCCAGCCCAACAGAAATGAGAAAGGAGTGTTTGGAAAGACCTTGTGTGTTGTAGAGACTTTCCAAATGCTAGTAGCCCTCCTCTAGAGAACTAGAAATACTGACTAGGCTGAAGAGCAATATGGTGTGGACTGTTTGATTTGTACTGGAGGGATGATTCTCTTCTTGTTGTGGACTGGGCTGGGCTGAGCAGCCCCCATTCCTTTGCTGGTGAGTTTGCACAAACATGACTGTGGCTCTTGCTTTGCTGGGTGGAAGAGATGTGACCACCATTCATGCCCCACTGCATGGTTGCCTTCCCACTGCCAAAGCCCTTCTGTCAGTGAGGCTTCAAAAGAGAGTATGGCTGACCAGTTCACCCAGAAATAGCTCCTCACCTCCCCTCTTCAAACACCTCTTTGAAAGCCTGTTCCATCCATACTTTCATTAGGAGCCCATTCCTTCATCTGCGGTGGGAAAAGCAAATAGAGCTCTCTAGATTTTCTTTGCTTTCAATGAGAATGTTCATTGAACAGGCCCTGCTCAGGTAAAGACAGACTTCACCAGGACCTTCCACTTCCTTAAAAATACTGCAGGCTGAAGAGAGCCTCCTGGTAAGACAGAAGGAATCCAGTCACTGGCATGCAGATCCCAGTGTTGGTGCCTCAAGAGAGAATAGAGACTTACTCTAGCACTTGTTTATTATGTCATCTAAGTAATGCACAGAAAAGGGACAAAGGTGAATCCTTGAACCACTGTAAGGATTTTTTTCTCCAGGGCAGGCATGTTAAGTCCAGTCAATACCATAGTCCCTGGTATATTCTAACAGTTTTGCACCAACACACATAATTATAGTTCCACCTACACTTCAGACAAGTAGAGGTACTGATTCTGCAGTGCTCCCAGAGATGATGATCTTATGTACTGACTTACCTAAGCTTAAGGAACTAGCTACAAGACAGCACATAATCCTGAGATACCTTCACACCAAATAATCCTTAGCATCTTGATCTGACTCCAGTTAGCCCTGCTTTGAGCAGGGAATGGGATTAGATGATCTCCAAGTGTCATTTCCAGTGCATAGTCTGTAATTTTGTGATACAACTGCTATTGAGACAGCGTATCTATGAAGAAACAATGGAAATACTTCCAATTTGGGGTTCAATTAGAATTAACATAATCCTGGCAAAGATTCTTGATGACTCTTATGATCAATGCAATGCAAACATAGTGGAAAAACACTAGACAGGTGCCTAACATTCAGAGAAGACTTGTGGTATTATGCTTTCACTTTTTTTGAGGCAAGGATATCCTTTCCTGTGCATAATTCCTCTTCAGAAACTCCCTGTCACTTTCTACAACAGCAAATACACAGCAACATTGTACTAAACATGGTATTTCCCCAGATATCCAGAATCTGCAAATAAAAGTGTATGTATTCCTTACTGTATATGAAGTATCACTGTGATGTTTTCCACAATGATTCAGGATGGTAAAGCCATTAGAATGATGAAAACTTTCAACATAACAGCTAGCCTTCAACACAGAAATATTCATAAGAAGTTGTCCATGAAGAATATGCACTTGGAATATGCAGATGATTTTAAGGGATGTCCCTGCTGTGTTTCAGAAAGAGAAGTTTCAGGATAGTCAACACATTAACTAATACTAGAGAACAGAGGGTATGACTCCTATGTCCATCCAGGTAAAATTAGCAAAGCAGACATAAATATTATCATACCTCTTGTATGTAGAGGTACAATTTCATAAGTGTTTCATACACAAAGGAGGCTACACAGTCTGGGTAATTCCAAAAGTTATTTTCAGATAGGCCCTGCTTGGGATCTATTTCAGGATGAAGTGAAGAATGCTATACTGTAAGTAGGAACTACAATTTTTTTCCTCGATTTATCTCAAAAACTGCAGAAGAGACGTAACTGCAAAATTGCTGAATCCTGAAAGAATTAAGTGGTTGAAGCCTCATAGCTGTTGTAGATATTTGCCCTAAGAGCAATGTTCCTAAGCAAGGCAGTCCTAAATGTCTCTTAGGAATGAAACTGGTTTTGTGGTTATGCATTTCTGTACTACCAGCAGAACACTTTAACACTTAACATCAATGCATTCTAGGCTCCTTCTTTGGCTGTGTGGGGCTAGGGAAGCAAAGACTCTTTATGACCTCAGGGTCACCCTGACCTTCAGAACCCCGAGAGACATGGACAAGGTGGGACATGGGATTGTGGACTGAGCCATAAGAAATTCTTCATTATATCGAACATCCAGCAAGCCCTTAACAGCCACTCACAGGGTATCTGTAAGAACAGAGGAAGACAGAAGCAGACTGTGAAGATACTAAGATTAGCTGCTTTCCAGGCTTCAGAGGACTCCTACTGGTACTGTTCAGCCAGAAATGGCACAAGTTACAGTTCTTGTATGAACGTCCCTCATATCTGTACATCTGAGGAGTTACGGGTCTAGAGCTGGCCTGCCACAATCACTGGCACCTGAAAATTCATATAGAATAGATAAGGGAGCAAATACTTCTGGTTAATATCCATAGTAGTTTCTTTTCGTTCAGAGTGGAAGAATACATTCCTAGACTGCGCCTGAGCCAGCCAGGTGTGGGTTGCTGAGAACTCCCACTACAGGAATTTCTGAAGCAAAGGGAACACCTTCCTGCCCCACCTTGACTGGCGTTGCTGATACTCACCCTTCTGAATTATGGAAAGAAGCTGATAGGAGGCATCTTTCTCTGTGACCTGGGGCCTGAAAGACAGTTTTTAGCATGAGAACATCACAGAACAAATGATTCTGTGATGTTTGGCCTCTTAAGGTAGCTAAAGCTAAGGACAGCTATACAATTCCTCCTCAGATGCTCTTCTTATTATAAGCTTTGTCTTGCCTAGGAAATTTCTTTAGTAAGGTTTACTTCCAATCTGCTGAGGAAGAAACAGAAAAGAGGTCAAAAGGTATCCCAAATTGCTCTGCCAGCTGCAGAGCCTACAAAGGCTATATATGCCAATGGATTTATGTCCTATTTTCCTCATGCTCCCACTTAACTGAACGCTGTCTCCTCTTCATATCCACCACTCCGCTTCCAAGTGTTCGTCCAGGGCTACAGGAGGAACACTCTACCCAGCAGTATCTCAAGTTCTTTCTCATCTCCTTTCACTGTGCCCCAATCTCCTCTACATAGCACCAGTAACTCTTAGAAGGCTTACAGTTGCTTTTTTGACATGCCAAGGGCAGAAAGGAGGATCCATTGTTTCAGAAAATAAGGGAAATAGCAACTCAAAATATTGAAAAATGCTAAGTCTCAAAAAATTGCTGAGGCAGCTAGGTCACGAAAAAAAGCTGACCCATTTTCTGCTTTTTTTGTACATCTATACAAAATATTCACGTTGGGTTGAATTTCAACTTACTCATATTTGCAGTTCTTCCAACAAATATTAGTATTGTGAAAAACAGATGAGTTTTCTGTTTGCCTCTCAAAATATAAAATTTCCATTCTCAGAACATAGTATGCCAGCAGTATGAAGATCTGGGAAATTCCATTGTTATTTTCTTTTGGAAATAATTCTTCAATTTTAAATTTCTGGAACCAAAATATCTGATTCTCACACAAATTCAGACCAATTTTTCCTAACCTCGAAGAAAACTTCTCAGATAAGAAAAAAAATGTTCTCTAGAGCATCAAAAACCCCACACTCCTTCTGGTACTTACCTTCAATGGCAATGAAGGGGAGTACTACTTATGGTTATTTTACAGATGGAACTGAAGCTCAAATTACTTACCTGCTGCCAGACAAAAGCGTGGTGGAATATGGAACTGACTACAACAGTCCGATTTTCCAAGCCAGTGTCTTAAACACTGCACCATTTTTCCTGCAAGGCCCACACAGTCTGCACGATGGAGAAAGAGACCTCGGATCACAGCTCGACCTAAGCTTTGACCTGAACTTTGTGTTTTGCTCTCACCTGTTGCAAATTGTCCACATAGAAACAGTGTATATTCCACAGCACTTTCTCAGAAGCTGGAGAATAATTTCCTTCCACTAGCAAACATACTTTTTGGGTTGTGTGGCACAACAGAAAAAGCCAATACAGTTTTTCATTAATTTTTCATTGATAACATGCTGCATCTGCATGTTAACATGAAGGTCAGTAGGAATGTACACAATACAAAGAAAATGAGTAGTTAATTATTGCTAGACTGCAAGAAGGGAAAACACATGCTTTAATTCGGTTTAGAAAAGAGCAAAACATGTGAACTGCTTCTTCTAGGCTGGTTTTTCATTGGAAGGGATACATAGAGTAAAATTCACGATAGCTGGAGGCTATTTAATGTGTTTTGAGTATCACAGATAAAAAATTCCCTCTCATCATTTGGAATAATCTGTTTGAAATAATTACAATATTCAGCATGAAAAATCCCACTTGCCTTTTTTCAAAATCCCATGGGAATTTTATTGCTGAATATTATATTCATTTATTGAGATTGTTCCTTCTCCCACATGTGTATAATCTGGCTATTTGCCCATATATTTTGCCATATTTACTCCTCCTCAAGTGTTTGTACTTGAGGGTTTCATTGCATTTTCATCAACAATCTGCAGTACTTCAAAACCAAGCTGTATTTAGACCAAAATGCTATATTTGCTCTTTATGGAACAAGTTTTAATAATTTCAAAACATCAGCAAATAACAGGCCAAAACCTAGTATAAGAAGTTTCTGTTGGGATGCCAAACCACTATTTAAAACTTTCCTTCAGTCCTTCAAAGGATGAAGGTGTATTTGCTGTTCACCATCCAGCTATAATAAATAAGCAAAATATATTCATGTAACAGGGTAGAGATAATTGTTTTAAAGATATTCTAAGAAGGCATTTTTACCAAAAAAATCAGAACAACTTAACCAAAACTAGTAAAATTTTTAATTGCTCTGCAGAATGCAGGCCTAGTCCCTCCCAATCACCAATTAATAGTAGTCAGAGGTTATGAAAACAGTGAAGAACTCTTACTTCTAGGCAAGATTCCTGGAGAGCAGAGTTCACTCCATTGAACTTCACCTGTCACTGGGTACTATGTCAAGCATCCATGAGCAGAACAAAGCATTGTCTCAAAGCCAGCTGCAGGACTAGGACCTCACACATGGGAATCGGGCAAGTCTCCAGGCAACTGGCACATGCCAGAGCAATCAGAAAATTTCTGTGTAAACTCTGGATAATTATTGCAGTACATACCTTACTGACTTTACAGTTTTATGCAGACGGAACAAAAATTTGTAAAAGACATTCACTATCCTAAAGCTTTAGAGCCATGGTCCTTCAGCCCACTTTATTAGGTGGAACATGAGTGGGAAATGATGCTCATTAATACCAATGTACACTGTTTTTACAGTTTAGATTCACTCAGTAGTACTCAACTGATATAAAGTTCTGTACAAACTCAATTACAAAACTTGCCAAGCTTTTCTGCACCAGAAGGAAGTCGTGATCACAACCACAAACATGTATAGCTCTATAAAAGCTCAAAAATTGAGTTCAGGTACTCAAATATTTTGCAACAGTTAGGTAATATGAAGGTAAAAGGTTCAGCACCTGCTACCAGCAGCCACTGTTCAGAAAGCATCTAACATTTTTCTAGGCAAGATCCAGACTCAGCAAATTGCTCAACTTCACAAAGGAGTAGCAGAGATTCTCTTCTCTCTTAACCCCAAACTAAGTAATTTCACATTCTCTGATGGTTCCACACTACCATGATACATGATTTTTAAGCATTTGTGTCACCAGGTGACAGAAGCTGCATAATGGAAAAATTCCCATATTCTCTGAAAAATCTTTGGTTTGCAGCTTGTCAGTTACAGACGGGAGTATCTGCATTTCAGCAATGTTTTATTTTCACTGAGGAGGTATTTTAGATAAAAAAACTTCGCTGAATTGGTCTGATGCATGAATATTTTGTTAAAGAAAACAAAAAACCAAGGCTCCCTCATTTCTGCAGTTTCACTGAAGAAAGGTTTTAATTATAAAAACTTCTTTTCAGCTCTATTCTTTTCACAGCAAACACAGAATTAGCTTTGTGACAATGTTGCTCTGTTCTATGTAAAGAAACTTCAGACTGAAAGAGGGTGAGTTTAGATGAGATATGAGGAAGTTCTTCTCTGTGAGGATGATGAGGCACTGGCACAGGTAGCTCCAAGAAGCTGTGGATGCCTGGAAGTGTTCTAAGCCAAGCTGGATGGGGCCTTGAGCAGCCTGCTCTAGTGGAAGGTGTCCTAACTCATGGCAGCAGGGTTGGAACTGATACCTTAAGTTTTAGCTTTTGTATTTTCCAGATTCTGTACTGCTTTAGTATAACTCTGAACTTCATATAAAGTGTTAGCAAGTTCTTTACAGTTTAGTTAGACAAAACAATCCTTTTCCAGCCTGAGAACCAAGGACACCATTGAGGCTTCAGGCCCAACAAGTGTAAATAATGGCAAATTGAAGAAAGCAGTTTGGGAGGATGGGACTTCATAACCTGAAGCTGTAATTGGACAATTAACCCCAGTATGTAAATGGACCAAAACTTTTAATTATGAAAACTTGGGATCAGGCACTCTTCTTGGGTGTAGCCTTTGCCAGGCTCTTGCACTGCCCAAGATGTATCCTTTGAAGGCCTTTTAATAAATACCTACTTTATTCCTTTAACATGTCTAGCCTCTGTTCCAGGTAGCCTCTCAAGGCATCAGAACTAGATGAGCTTTAAGGTGCCTTCCAACCCAAACCAATCTATGATCCCTACACTGAGTGGGTACACTCACTCTGGCTCCAACCATCATGCAAAACGACCTGAGAACTCAAAGGAATCAAATATGGCCACATTGTCCCAACAAGCAGACAGAAAATGCTTAGAGAAAATTCTAATGCTTAGAGTGATAATAGAAGACTAAATAAAAATTAACTAGTAGGAGGAGAGCCATGTCTGAGTGGGAGAGTGATGACAGAGACAGGTAGAAATAAAATAGCAAGTAGCAGAATGGCAGTTTGGAAAGTAACACTGTAAACATGGAGTCTTTCATCTGTTTTCCCAACAGAAGTATGTGATGTCCAAAAAGATGACAAACATCTGCTAATGTTAGGAATAACACACTGTCCATACATTTTTCAAAGTATACAGCAATCTGCAATGATCTTTAAAATGTTGTGTGTCCTAATTCTACTCACTTAACTACAATAATTTTCTCCAAGTTGAGTCTGTTTTGCTTGCAAAAGAAACTGGTAAGAAATCTCCTTGTGTTTATCCAGACCCACAAGCTCTGTCACTCTATTTACTCTCCTTGTCCAGTGGAGGAGCAGGAGTAAGAATGGCCAGGGGGATATCTGGCAGGCAGCCAAGGTACTTTCCACACAAACTTGCAAAACAATGAAAAAAAGCATAAAGTGGTTTACATTTTTTAATGTACGAATTTACACTCACCATGTTGTAACTTTCAAACTAGGGAGGAAATTGTAGCAGTCTGTGTGATTTATTATCCATAATTTACAAGTGTACAGATTAGGAGAAAATCCTTTTCCCTTTTCTCAAGGAAATAAACATTTCATTTCTATACTCAGTAATCATCCAGCTTTCTAACAGTCTGTGAGCTATGCAACAGCATTCTCTCTCAAAACTAGCATGTTTTTATCTCTTGGGATTCCAACCAGTAGCCTTTGTTGCTCCTCAAGTGCCCACACAGCATATTCAGAATTCTGCTCCAGTGACACCTAAAAACACACTTCAGTGAAAGAAGCAGCAGCTGAAGACGTCCATCTTCAGTTTTGCAATTCATCCAGCTGCCAGTTACTTTCTTCCAAATGGATCTGACCACACTTTTAACCCTACAAATCAAACATCAAAATACCAGCTGTTGATAATTTAGACTGTTGGAGGAAAAAAAAAAAAAAAAAGGGTTTGCTACTCCAGCTTTGTGTATTATAAACAATGAAAGAAGCCAACAATTTCTGCCTGAATTTGCAACTCTGCTCAAACTTGCAAAAATATACAGAAAGACAAACTCATCTTGATCTTAAAACTTCAGATATTGGAAAAATCTATCACATTCATAGGTAAGGTGTTCTAATATTGTTGTATCAACCATTTAGAATTGTACCTTGCGCTTACGTTTGTCTAGGTTTCCTTTTTTTGTAACTTATCAGCAGCTAAATTCAGATGAAAAGGAGAACTTACACTAAGAAGAACTGGTCATTAAGTACCTACATCTTGGCTAAATGAGCCAGTCCAGTCCTCTCAAATGTTTAGTAAAAAAGACAGATTTAGGAAGACCTTCCTACAATAACCTTCCTACTTCTCTTCAGCATTTCCTTCACTTCCCTGGAAAGCAAGTCCTGCACTAATGATCTAAGCACTGCATGTAATATGGTCATGGCTTTAATCCTATTTGACTTTCACCTGCTTTTTATTTTATTTTTTTATTTTTCAAAAACAAAAATACACTACCCTTTAACATATTCAGATATTACATGTTTCATCAAGACAGGCATTCTCACATCTTTAATCAAGAAATGCCAGCCTTGTGTAGCCACTCCATTTAACATTATAAAAAAATGAACTATCAAGGATAGTCTGCTATACTTGAGTTTTACTTCCCTCATATGCTTTTCTAAGCCTTCCACTGTCAACAGCAAGGATCCAAAAGCTATTAGCACTGCATTCCAAATTTTCCTTCACATGTAGTGGGTTTCTAAACGGCCCATCCATCCATGAGGCCAGAAGGCACTGCCTAGGTGTTGATGAACTGTGTTTCAGTAGAGTTGGGTATTCCACAAAACTAGGGTGCAACATTGTTCTTTACAGCTACAGCTCAGCCTATCCATGGTTCTTGCTTGCTCTGAGCTGGTTCAGAAGTGGAAACTGGCCTCTATTTAACAAAGCATGAAGACAACAGAAACTCTGCAACTTATTTGGCCAGTTAAGTCACTTTCAGAAAAGTTTAATTAAAACTGTAATTTTTCAGTGAGGAATTAGCCTGAAAAAATAATTTAATGGCAAGTTTATTAAATACGTTTTCACTGAATATATTCTTCACTGTATTATTTAAATCCATATAAATATTGAGGCCTTACTTCAAGAGGGTCTTCAAAACAATCAATGCAAACACATAAATCAAGTGTACCTGCAGGTTGAATATCCTCTTGAACAATACCAGCTCGGTTTATTGACTGTTCTTTCTCTGGAAAACAGAACAGAAAGCACACTACTTAAAAAAAGAAAATACCAGGTATCTTGATTGCACTCAATAAAATAATCTTGAAAATTTTATTCATTTGAAATGCTACACAGCAGAATTCTGTTGAGTATCTACCAGAATGAGAATGTAGTATTCCTACTTCACTGAGAAACTAATAGCTAGTCTGTTTTAAGTGATTACAAACAGCAAGATAATAATCTTAAAACAATGCCTACTGTTTAATAAAAATGCCAAAACACCTGCCATGGTCCCAGCACTTAAGGGATGACTAGTACTTTTAAAAGCTATCATTTATATGCTCAATATAAAACTAGTCAAAAGATTTCTTTTCTTTTTAGTGACTCCCATTTTCAGGCCCTGGAAGATCTTGCAAACAGATATCATGACAGCATCGACAAAATAACTGCTTGTAAATTTTGTGAAATTCAGCAGGGGATATTTTCCCATACATTGGGCCAGTCTCGTGCTTTTCTTTTTTCTTTGAAAGATTCAACCACTTCCATGAAGAGAAATGAAGAAAACTACTATTTTCCCTTACAAAATGCCCCTCTCTTCTGCTTTCAGTTACGCACTTCACCACCACAGCGGTACTCTGAAGCAGAAGTCAAAGCTCAGGTGGATTCACCTTTTGCCCACGCCACTGAACTTCTGGGGCTTTTAGAAATCTGCAGGGTGCGCATTCGCAAAGGAAGCTGAGAACTAAGCTCACCTTAGAACTGGAATTTTTCATTATCCCATCCCACTGGGAATGCACTGGCACTACTTGTTATCAGGCTGTCTAGGTACAAGCCTAATGCTACTGGAGACTAGTAGGAATATCACAGCAATTGGTTCTCGTTGCAAGGGGACAGGCACTAGAGGCATATCCAGGTTCTCCAGTTCTGTTCACTGAGGATGGTAATTCCATATTGTAGAGTTGTGTTTGCACTGTATATCGCCTCATAATGGTTTGTCCCTCCATATCCCCTCTTTGTACCTGTTTGGTCCATCCCAGCTTTCCCATCAGTAGCTGTATGTCCATCAAACCCCAAGCCATCCCCTTGTCTCCTCCCAGGTGATGAGTCCATCACCTGGTGACCCTTCCCCTTTGTCCAGATCCTTCCCCCAGGGTCACCAGGTAACTGGACCCTGGCTGGGGCTCCTCCCCGACCCCTCCTCAGTGGTCACTCTGAGGCCTTGCCCCCGGAGAGCTGCTCCCATGTCCTTCCCCATTGCCTGCTCTGGTTTCCCCGCCCCCCTACATCTGGCTGCTCTGGGCAGGGACACCCTCTCTCTTGCTCTGGATGTCCTTCGGGGTCAGATGTGGCCTGGGATCTCTCCAGGCCCTCATTAAACTTTGGAACTAATCCTGAGGGAGAGTACCTCTTTCCTTTGCTTGTGGAACCAGCTCATCTTTGGACTCACAAGGGAGCTTCTCCGAGCCCCCGGGATCCAAGGAGAAGTTCTTCCCTCTGCCCACCTCGCCCCAATGCCCAGCTGGCTGGGCTCCACAGGGGTTCTATCCCCGTGGATTCGAGGGTGAGACGCAGCACCGTATCATCCTTTTTAGCACACAAAATCTCAGGCACCTGCCTAATTTCAAAGGAAAACGCACAAACCCCAGAATAGAATAGGGAGAACAGAATAGATTAGGGCAAGGAATGAGACATCCTGTAGGACATGAAGGAGAAGGCTATTCAGTCTTGAGTGGAAACTTAGATTAGAAGAGAGGCAGGGGAAAAAAGGGAACCAATCTGAGAGTTCTGGGGCCACACTTGGGTTGAACAGCAGGAGCTGTTAATGGTCAGGCAAAGAAACCAGTGCAAAAACATAAGAGATGATAAATACATAGACGGGACACAGAACAGTCAACAGGGAGATTGCTGTGGGGCCTGCAAACAACTTGGAAGACAGGTAAGCCAAAAAAGGACAACAAGGAAGATTCAGTCTTGGTGACAGGAGAGCCACTTCACAGGATGGGAAAGGAACAGACTCTCTAAATTCCGAAAATCAGGAAATCTGTGAAAATGTCACAAAGAGCAGCTGTCAAGCCACTGTTTTAGTTAATTCATGTGGAAAAGGTCTGTGCTGACAGCCTCAGAGTTTCATCATTGCCATGAAAATGCAGTCTTTTTTAAAGGTAGATACAGACAAGAAAATATTAGAAACAGCAAAGCCACAAACTGAGGTACTAAAACCTTACAAAATAATAACATTTCTGTATGAAATTAAGTCAAACTCCTTTGTGCACAATTTACGGTTCATATCAACAATTTGATTACATATCAACAGTTTTTCCAAGTAGCTTTCATCTTATTTGTTAAATTGCCAGGAACTTCTCTGAAGATGTTTGAGAATTATGCAGTAAAGTCTTTTTCCTGAATGTCACTGTACTCCACTTGTATAGAATTTGGGAGATACACAAGAAAAACAATAATGAAGAAAGAAAAGCACTTCATGTTTACATAATTCAATGTCACTCCAGGTAACTAAAATTCATTCTTGCCTTTAGTATGATTACTATGTGATGCCAATCAGAACACCCAACTTTTGGGACACAGCATCCCTAAACACAGAAATACTGAATATTCTTCCACAGCTCAAGCCAATAGAGGGTGGGAGCTTCTACAGATGTTGTCACAGCTTACTACACTGTACTCAGAAAATCCTCTGTACTCCAAAGGTTAAATACTTGGGCTCGAACACCACAATTGTGATAGTCCACAATCTTGCCTCAAGTGTTGATAACAAATGCTTGTGCCTCTTGTGATGAGCATCAAGAAAAGCTCATTGAAAATTAATAAAGGTGACATCAGATGGAGATTCAACACCAGACAATAAGTTTAGAAGAAGGTATCAAATCACAGGTTTGTGCACTTGCTAACTGAGCATCAATTAGGTAATTTTATGTCCTAAATAGAGATTAAAAATCCCTAAACTGATAGGAAACATCTACTCACATAATTCACAAGTACAAAGGAGGACATTGCTCCACTAGTTCTGTCCTTTCCTTACTGCTAAGAGACATTTCTGAAATAGTATTTTTGGAAAGTATAGCATAAGCAAAAACAATTTAGTAATAAAGTTTTCAAAGGGAACACAGAGCAGGAAACATAATTATGGGAAGCTTCACAAGCATAGCATCCTTGAATAAAAACTTGCTTGTAAGTTAAATTTTAGTTGACCTTTCATGCAAGGCCAAAGCCCCTCCAAAAAGACCATTAAGTTTGTTATCCTTTTTTCTTTTTCCTTCCTAGAAATCTTTAGTTGTCTTGGCAGATTAACCACATATATCTTCATGCTATCAGCTTGCTTAGTTTCATAAAAATGAAAATGAGGGGACAAGGCTGGTTGCACCAGAACTTTCCTGTTTCCCTTGGCAGCATGTCACAGAAGTTGAGGAGTGATGGGTGCTCCCCCTACGGAGCATCCGCCTGGAGCTGCAGGTGCCTTGGAAGGCTTGGGCAGGTTTTCCTGGCAGGAAAGTGAGGTTTTCCTCAGGAGTCAGTTTCAGAGACTCTGCAGACTGAGACCAGCTCTAGCAAATCATCACAACTGGTTGCCAAGTTTTAAATTAGATTTTCAATTGCAGCTGGAGAACAGAACTCAAACAGCTCATAGAATCATTGAATAGTCTGGGCTGGAATGGACCTTTAAAGATCATCTAGTCCATCTCTCCTGCACTGAGCAGGGACATCTTCAGTCATACCAAGTTGCTTAGAGCCCTGTACAACCTGATCTTGAATGTTTCCAAGGATGGGACACTCACCACTCTTTTAGGCAATCTGTTCTAGTGGTTCACCATCACCATAAAAAGTATTCCTTCTATCTACTCTGAATTTACTCTGTTTAGTTTAAAACCATTACCTCTAGTCCTATTGCAACAGGGACTACTAAAATGCCTGCCCAGCTTTCTCACAAGCTCTCTTCAAGTGTTCTACGAGGTTTTTCTGAAGCCTTCTCTTTTCCGGGCTGAAGAACCCCAACTCTCTCAGCCTTTCGGCACAGGAGAGGTGCTCCACCTCTCTGATCTCAATTTCTTCAATTGCGTCTCAATCCTCTAAGGAGCAGCTGAAATATATTCTTAATCACGTGTTGGCCAATAACTTAAAATAAGAGCAAGGGCGAGCTGTATTTTGGTTTTCAGGTATCTCCTAGACACCAGCCTCGGGAGTCACTCACCGAGCGGCACCCCCAGCACTCCCCCAAGCCCGGGCACACACCGTGCCACAGGCCGGCCAGCTCCCCGCGCGCACGGACTCACTGTACTCCTCCGGCAGCAGCAGCGGCCGGAAATAAATGGGGTAGAAGGCGGCTCCCACCACGGCCACGAAGGCGCCGAAGATGCCGAGCGTGCGGGCCAGCGCGGCCATGGCCGGCGGAGCGAGCGGCGCCCGCGCGGGCCCTTCCGGGGCGGCGGCAGCGGCGCGGGGCCGCCCGAGCGCGCCCCCGCGCGGCCGGCGGGCGCAGTGCGGCACGGGCCGGCGCCGCCGCGCTGCCAGCCCGGCCGGCAGCCCGCGGTGATGCGCCCCGGTCCCGCCGCCCCGCCCTAACGCGCCGCGCCCGACCGCGGAGCTGTCCCGGCCCGGGACTGCGCCGGTAGCGCAGCGCCGAGAAGGGAGGGCGGGACCGCCGCGGAGCCGCAAAGGGAGCGAGGGGGCGCGGCCCTGCGCGGGGATCCCTGCCGGGCGCGCGGCTCCCGGGACGCCGCCCGGCGCCTGCTGCACGGCGCCGCCAAGGAGCCGCGCCGCACGGCCGGGGCTCGGCGCCGTCTGCCCCGGCTCCTCCGCACCTGCGGCGGCGGAGCGGGGCGCTGCCCTGCCCTGCCCGGGCGGGGCCCCTCCTCCAGGAAGCCGGATCTGCCGCATCCTTGTCGCCGGGCCGGCCGCGCTGTCCGTGCCGCGCTGGGCGCCGCCGCAGCGGCAGCATGCGGCCCCCGGCCGGGCCCCGCCGCCCCCCGCCGCTGCTCCTCGTCCTCCTCACGGTGAGTGCCGCCGGGCCCGCACCCGCCTCGCGTCCCGACCCGTCCGGGCGTCCGGCGGGGGCCGGGCCGAGCGGCCCCGGGCGGAGGGCGCCGGAGCCGGGTCCGACGGGGCTCGGCCGGGGCCGCCTCTCGGAGCCGGCTGCCGGCCCGGCTCCGCGCCCCTCCCAGCCCCGCGGTGACCGGGCCTGGCTTGCTGCGATGGGGACGCCGAGTCGTCACATCCAAGCGCTGAGCTTTCTGCCCTGGGTGACGATGAACTTCTAGAGGGGAAAAAATGGAGAGGCTTTGACATCTGCTTACAGATGCCCGACTGAACATACTGCTGCACTGGCTTATGGAAACAACCGTGGTTTCGGGCCAGTTATTAAACTACTTTTTCATCTTTTTTGTTACTAAGCATAAGCTCTGGTCAAAATCTTTGTGTGCCTGTACCATGTTGGTGCTAATGGAGAGCAGCAGGTCAGCACCCTTTTTTGTCATGTCTTCTTTTCACACGTGGTAAAATGTAGCATGACCTGTTGGTGATTTGCAGGTGAAGAACTGCAGTTGTCTTCAGGGTTTGTGCAAACAGGTGCAGGTTTCATAAAGTTCTGTGGAATTTCTGCAAGGTTGAACTCATGGTGGGTCCTGTTGACATCTCTAGTAAATGAAAGAGTACTTGCTCAATCATTTCTGTATTATTGCACTACTGAAAATGTTAAGTTTCCTAATGCTTGCAGTGTTTGCCTCCCACTTATCCCAAGATCTGATGGCATGACTTGGGCTAATTAATTAAGATTCAGCAGAATTTAAGAAAAGAAAAAACAAAAAAACCCCATTTTTATAGCTTTAATGGCTAAGTTGCCCCACACACAAAGCCTTTATGTCTGTCTTGTTGAACTTTGCCTAGTTCATGATAATATTTTGGATCAGCATAGCTGGCCTGTTTAGTGTGCTGGAAGACTTTTATATTTAAGTTTCATAATCACACTCAATGTGTAATTTTTTCATCCTTGTTCTATGTCAGAAGTGATGCACATTTAACTCTTCTTTGTCTGATGTAATGGAAAGGAAGAAGCTTCCTCGCCAAGTAGGAACATTTTGATGATACACACTCTATGCACTGTGTAGTGGCAACCAAGTGATTATAGAGACTCAGCCGTGGTCTGGAAGTTTATAGTCTGCAGTCTCTGCCAGGCCTGCACCATTGTGGGGTTGCTCAGGGTTCTTTGCTCCATGCTGTTTAGTGGATGAGCCTCCAGAAGGGTTTGTTAGGTGGGATGTAACAGCAGACTCAAATATACTTCGGGCATTTTGGCAGCACAGACCTCAAGTAATACCCAGGGACCAAAGAATATGAAGAAAAATGGGGAGCCATTTAGCAGATCAGGCACTACAGGAAAGGTACTAGATCAGCAGAGCTGAAGTTAAACTTAGGCATCCGCAATTGCATTGCATTGTGATTAAGTGCTTTAGGAACATTATGGAAATTGTTCTGCAAAGACATGGCTTTGGGTTTCAGAGCTTACTGAAACCACAAAATTTCTGCCATTCACTGGAAATCAGACGGACATATTCAGACATTGCTGCATATTTGTTAATGAACTGTGCCAGACCCAGGCTGTCTTTGCTGGAGTATAATTCCCATTGCTCTGTGTTGGATAACCACTGAACAAATCTGGCTGTGTGTGTTTTGACAGTAAGTGTGTGGTAAGCACACATTAGTACCCCTATGCTTTGTAGTATGTACCTGGTAGACTTTTGCATCTTGTGATAATGACATGGCATTGTGTTCATATAGTATAGTACCATCTTCCTCATGACACAGCCCCCTTATCACAAAGATTAAACTACTTACGAGTAGTCTTTATTGTAAGATCAAGAAATATTAATTATAACCATCAAGTACAAGAGGTTTAGGATAATTTGTTGCTACTGTCATGGGCTTTTAATGATCTTGGAAGTATTTAAACCAAAGAAGAATTGTGTTTGAAGTGGAAAAGAATAGTATCTTTTGTCAAGTGAAGCTCTGAAAGGTACTTGAATTAGTTTTAAAATCAAGGCTCTCTCATTAACTTTTATCTCTGTATTTGTGTAGGTGTTATTCAGCATATGATGTTATTCAGCCATACCATGTTTCAAGGGATACCAACTTCCTCTTGCTATTTCTTTTTTAGCCCCTTCAGTTTGCATAGTTTTTATAATAGCACAAAATCACAGAATATTCTGAGTTGGAAGGGACCCACCAGGATCTTTGAGTCCAACTCTTGAAATGAATGGCCCATAAAGGGATCAAACCCACAACCTTGGCATTATTAGCACTGTGCTCTAACCAATATGAATTTTGTGGAGGGGGAAATAAGGTAGAGAGGAAGGCTGTCACTCTGATGAGGCTGCCAAAATACTGAGTTGCATAGGGTTTGTGGGTTCAAGGTGTAATCTTGGTGCTTAATGTGTTTATTGGTGTTCAGCATCATTGCACATCTCACTTGCAGTGTCTCTTGTCGGGTACAAGAAGATAAAGAGCATTTGGTTGCAAGTAGGGACAAAAGAGTTTTGGACAAAAAAGTTCCCTCATTCAGTTATGTCTTCCAGTGTCTACCCTTAATAAAGTCAAGTTCTTGAAGTAAACAGCACCTCTGTGCATAGTTGTATTCCACTAGCAGCCTTTGAGCTCTTTTGCACCTCCAAGGAGGCAGGGAACTGGGGGAAAAATAGCATTTGTTCACACAGGTGATCAAAAAATCCAAAAATCCTCATCTGTAGAGCAATGAAGCAGTATAGGACTTAGCTCTGACTTTTCCTAATATTTACACCTTCACAGATCTTACTGGCTTGATGTTTTTTCCATGTAGCTCTCAAGGAGTGTCAACATATTCTTAAGAAATAAAAAGCAAAATAGTTTAAGAACTTTTACTGATTCCTGTATTGGATTGCGGGCAAAGTCTAGTCCTCCAGGTGCACAACACATAATTTCTGTGGTTAGAAATGTACTAATGACTAGACCAAACCATTTAAATATTTTGGAAAACACAGTGAAAAAGACATCAATACAAGATAGGTATCCAAGATAAATTTTATTTTAATTTCTTTAATCTTAGCAAAGTTAAAAGTTACCAAGACACATATCATTTTGAGCAATCTTAATGAACATCTTCCCTGATAATCCTAAGTGACAATTGTGAATATTTTAGAAAGACCAGGGGACATGGTGGAGCTGCTGTGCTGGTGGCTTGCCCTCAGAGCTGAGTAATCCCCAGTATCCTTGGCAATGCATCAAGTTGGATGCTGACTGCAGGGCAGAAAGGAAATGAGCTGTTTGAAGCTTTAGAGAAAAGAACTTCAGCATAGAGGATAATGCTGTTGTATGTCCAGGCACTCACTCTCAAACTATATATAATGTACATAGCTGTGGAGAGCAAAAGCTGAGCAAATTCAGCCTGCTGGTCTTGCTGCTCAGATTTCCAAGTCCATCTTCAAGATAGGAATGTGTCAAACATTAAACACCTCACTAATATTAATTCATTCTCAGGAAGCCTTTGTTGTTACTTTGTCCTTCAGGGACCTGCATGACAGGTAACAAAATTAGCTAACTTTTTAAGAAGATACAGAAACATCAGGCTGTGGCAATCCTAGCAAACAATGATACATAATGAATATATGCCTGTACATTATCATGTACACTCCTTAGGCCTGATCCTAGGAGCATGTTTAAATAGCGTGACGTGTAAGCTGCTATCTTAGACCGGATTCCACTTGCGTCAGGGCTGAAGGGATACACCCTGTAAATACAGTTTGTTTGTAGAAGCATGTGTAACTTAGAGAACTTGATGTAGGGACATTGTTGCCATTAAAATCTTGATGGTGGCTCTCCAGTAATCCATGTCTACTTGCTGGGTAAAAGAAACCTAATATTTTAAACTATGTTGTATATATGCTTGTGCAGTGTTCTGTTATTACTGTGAGTATATGAATAATCACATAGATTCTCTGGTTAACATATCTGTGTTTTGGGTTTTCTTCCAGAACTTTGTGGTGTCTTTTGGAAAGGAGACATTACAGACAACGGCAGTTACTCCACAGTTTCAGAAGAATATGGATTATGTAGATTTTATCTATTTAAACATTTTAGAAAAGAAAGTTCTTAACAATTCTGAGGTTTCAGTTCAGTATTTATGTTCTAAGCCTTGTATTGTCAATTTAGAAGCAGTAGCTTCCTCCGAGTTCAGGACTGGTGTACCAGTGTATAGAAGGAGATGGAAGGATGAGAAGAACCTTTATGTTAGCAGAACTCGACAAGTACACTTGAAATTTCCAAGCATCATGGTTTACAGAGATGATTATATCATCAGAAACTCAATAATAGTGCACAGTGTGATACTCTATGCATGGATTAGCCACAAATCAGCTAGCAACTATGATGATGAACAGAATGAAGACTACCAGGCTGCGGTTGCCAAGAACTACACATTTTTAGAGGCAGTTCCACCTTTTGAACGGCCATATAAGGACCACAAAGTTTGTCTTCAGTGGGGTGCTGACTATTTGTGGATGCTCCAGGCCAATAGGATACCTCAGTGCCCTCATGAAAGTGGTAGGTCCAATGTCACTTTTTTTCCCCCAAGGAAACAAATAACATCTCTGGTAAGCTGTTAAAAAGTGCCTACTGGTAGTAAATAGTAAATATTACATACAGTGGTTTACTTGGGAAGCATTGTTGAACATGTAATCTCCATAACTGCGGGGTTAGAGCTGCAAGTTACTGAAGCCATCCTGCTCTTCAGATTGTTTCGTCACAGCCAGCCTGGAGGTTGGTAGCAGCCTGGCCCCCTATTTTCTAAGCATATTCAGACAATTTTAGTCAAAACCCACCAGAGTCAGTGGACACCGTTCCGTTATCTTCAGAGAAAATTTTTCAGTCCCTTACTGCATTAATTCAGAACCAGTTCTGCAGTTCATGCACACATAATTTTCACAGAAGTAGTTTCCTTCTGCTTAAGATGATGGCCTCACACTCAGAAACATATTTTCAAGTCTTTGTAGTGATCTAAGCTTTACAGCAACTCTTTCTTTTTCTTCCCCAGAGCCATTAAGAACAAGCATTTTAGGAAAAAAATTGTAGTTTTAAATAAAAAAATTGTGTCTTGCTAACTGTATAGATTACTGAAACAACTTTGCTTTCTAGATTTTTTGAGTTCTTTTTTTCTGCCTCCCTATCTCTAGCTTTGCACTTGCTGACAATTCTTTTGCTCTCAAATGCATGCTCAGAGCAGAACCTAGAAAGAAGAAGAACATCTGTTTCTAAATGGTTCTCTCTGAACAAATCCCATAATGGCATTTGTGTCATTTATTTTCACTATACTGGCATTGGTAGCATTCACTACATTGGTAAATACTCTGAAGAAAAACAGGGAACATCTTGCTTCCTTTAAGGGCTTTCTAAAATACGTGTTGGAGACAGCATGTGATATCTGACAACACTGTGAAACATCTTATTGTCTGTATTATCTATTTCTCTTACATATTAAATCAGTTTAATAGACAATAGGAGGAAATACTATTCAAATTCTGTTTCTTAAAATGATACTGTAACAAATTGCTCAGGGTTTGGCTTATTTTGTTGTTTACTTGGTGTTTTTTTGTTTGGTTTTTGGGTTTCTCCACACAAGCTGATGATATATCATGGTCTTGAAGATTTTTCTCCTGTTTCTTAGGAGGGGCAGCTTTATCAGTTTTATTACAGGATTATTCATACCAGTTAAGAACAGTATTGGTATCTATGCTTGCATATAATACAGAGAGGCACAAATGGAGAGCAGGTCCAAGAGATGTGGAGAAATGTCACTTAGGCATAGCCAAAGATAGATGAGATTTAAGTGAATAACATAAAGTAGGACTTCTTGTTTATTAGTATCTTAGATTTAAATAAGTCTGTTCTTTCCCCATTTCTAATGCCATCTGGAAACAGGCTCAATTTCAGTTTTTGTGGGTTATTTAGTCCAAGACTGTAATGTATTTAACAGCAGCAATTGAACTTGTGTCTAAGGACTTACTGAGAGTTTGTGTTAACTTTGAATCTGTTGTGTGATTTAAATGTTTGACTGTAGGAATGTGAGCTGATTAATTAGTTTATATGCTTTCTGTCTGTCAGATTAAGAAAGTCTGTATTTTGCAGATGGTGTGCAGGTTCTCGAATTTATATATGCTTCCAGTGGAGAAAAAACAGGAATTGTGAAGAAATTTGAACAGTTTGAAAACAGAGAACTTGAGACAGTCAGACAACATCAGATTGATTATCCCATGTAAGTATAGGCGAGTAACTGAACGGGGCTGTATTTACTTTTTAAAGGATATAAATGTACTTAAACTCTTGGGCTTTACCACAAATTAAAGGAATACTGCCTACTAATTTGAGAAAATATGCAAAAGGAGCCTAATTAGCATTTCCTTCTGATTCCAGTTTTGGACAGGCTTAAGCTGAACTTCAGGAAGATACTTACAGTATGTGTTAGTGCAGTGCTGTGTAGGAGATGCCACTGAATGTTTAACTGAATGGCTTAGATACAGTTAGGAGGCTGAGTTAGCTCTTACCTGCTGTCATGATCACATTGCTGTCTCATGACTGACTGGCCTGGGGTTTTTTGCAGTACAAACAGATCTGCATTTCTAACATTGTTTGCAGACCAAGAGCGGAGTAGGATTTCTTGGAAGGGCAAGCAGCATGAAGCAGCTTTATCCCTATAAATTCCCACTCTAGTTTATTTTGCACTTGACAAGCTGCTAGATAGAATCCTCTGCCTAGATAAGTCTTCCAGATTGAGTTCACTCCATTTCTTTCTACCATTGCTGTGTAAACTCTCCAATTTAGACAGGAGTACAACTCCTTAGCCCCTGTACACTATTCAGGTACAGAGGAATCGCTCTTGCAAGGTCATCTTGCTCTGCTCTGGTCCCCCTTCCCAAAACCTCACAACTCTAGTCATATTTTGCAACTTCAGGGGAAAAGAGATACATAAATATACCTCCATTCTACCAGATGCTCTCACTCTGGCAACATTATTACAAAAGTAGGAAATAATTACAGGAACTGGAACTTGCCTGCTGGTTTGTATTTGGCCTGTAGCCTCAAGAAGAGTGCCAGGATGACTTGCCAGGGAGCACAGGTTGCATGCAAATTACTAGTTCTCAAACCATAACTGAAGCCATAAATACAGAACAATTTTTAGCTCCTGGTGTCTTCTGGATGAGTGACAGCCTGCTGCTCTTTGCTCACCAGCACAGTTGCATTCTGCTTCTGGTACGGAGGCACTTAAGTTCTGGTTTAGAGTATATGGCATACATTTATCCATCTTTTTATCTGCTCCACACAGTTCTTGCCTTCAGGTCATGTCTTCAGTGTGTGTTGTGGTTGTGTGACAGCCTGGGGTAGTTCTGTTAGGAAGAGAGTTCTTCTCTTCGGTTCTTTTTCGGTTCTGCATATGTGAGCAGTGTTTCCCCACTGTACAAAAGGTTAGCAGAAGTAGATGGATCTAACTGAGATACTTGTTTGGCTTCAGTCAGGGATTTGTAAAGAAAGAGAGCCCAAGATACGTAACTGTGGTTTGAGCCTGCAGCAAGGACAGGCTGGGACTGTAAGGGACTGCTGGTGCTGTTTGGCATTCTGCAGCAATGGGGATATGACATGAGTCAGCATTGTCCCAAACTCTGTCCCAAGAAATGTGTCCAGAACAAACAGAGTCTCCGACTGGCAATCAAGGATTAAATGGAGACTGAGGCATTTGAGTTTGCTGTATTGGCAGAGATGAAAGTTGAAAATACCAATATATAAGAATGAACACACGAACAGTATTTCTAGAAGCACAGTGTTTGCCTGTAGGTCCTAGCAATCAATATGCAAGTGATTGTCATTTACAAACCTTTCTACCTCACCATGTATCATCTATGGAGAAAATGGTGTTATTAGCTGTTTAAGGCATAGTTTCCATTAAGGAAAACTTAATCACCCTTGCATTTTTTTTAAAGCAAGAGAGCAGCTGTTAGGCTTTTAGACCAACAGTGGTTTAGTTAGGAAAAGATACAAGGTACTCAATTAAGCAATTTTTTTTGAGAAAAAAGCAAGGCAAAGTGACTCAATACTAAAGTATTATTAAAAAAATATTGACCATTTTTATTGGTTACAGAAATGCAAAAATGGACTGTCCTTTATAAAAGTTACTTTTCTTAGTAACTTAGAACTATTTCATCAGATGTGATAATAATTATAATGCTTTGCTGAATTGTACATTGCAGGTATGATTTTCAAAGTCAGTCAGCATTGACCTAACTGCTGTGGCAATGTTACAGAAATAAGAGATCAAATTTCTGTTAAGAGCATGGAAGCAGATTTAGTCTGGCACAGAGGAACTCCTTAAAATTAGATATTGTGGTATAAATTCTGCTTTTAGTGCCTCCACCAGGTTTGAACAGAAATTTCTAAGTACATAGTGCTGTTGGTGTTTGGTTTTTTATTTTGCACTGTTCCATAGTTTGCAGAGGTGCCACCTTTATTTGTCCTGTGATACTTCTGTGACAGCTATCTGTACTGTCCAGAGGATGGACTCATTTTAACTGCTTCTCCCAGGCATATTTTCACAGTTCACTTTTAGTACAGAAGACAGAGCTTATAGTTTTTACTGGCTACGATAATCAAGATGACAAGACCATGCATCTGGGGGTTTGGTACTATAGTCTCTGTGGGGGAGGTTGGCTCCAATTTGTCTTGGTTGTGTTTTCAGTTCCTTGGTGGTGTAGGATCTGGAAGTAGCTCTGACCTGGCATTCTGGAATTGATTCAGATAAACACTTCCTTACTCTCTTCTGTTGTTACCAAAAAAGTCTGTGGTTAGAGATCTAAGATCCAAGAGTGTTAAGTGTGGTTTTCCTGAAGGTTTTTACTGTATAGGATGTGTTCTATTCTAAAGATTACATTTATGACACAGATTTGCTAAATTAAAGTGAAATGCATGCTTTTCAAATTTTATAGAGAGCTTTCTCATCAAGAGTGAATTTTTTGTTCATTTTTGCTCATACAGGTTCACCATTTCAATCTGGCTATATCTACTCCATCACTGTGAAAAGGACCTCTGTGGTATACTCTATTTTATTGATTCAAAAGAAATGTATGGTACTCCTGCTGTATTTCTAAATGAAGAAGGTAAGGGATATTATTAATGACTTTCAGAAGAGGTCTAATACAGTTTTTATTGATCTGTGCCTAGGAATAACAGTTAAAAAAATATATTATCAGACCTATTTTGTGAAATTGATCCTTTGCAAAATGCTTATTTTTTATGATATTGTCTGAGTAGGAAAGTAGCTCCTAAATTAACAGGAGAAAATGTAGTTGTTACATTTAGGAGCATCTAGTCTTTGCTAACTTCAGGAAATGTCTGCTTTGTCAGAATAGCCTGAATCTTACAGCCAGGAACTTAGACTGAGATTAAACAATCTCACCTCAATGAACAAGCTTTATTATTATTATTACTGAATATTTTAAGTTTATTCGTTTAAATAATATTTAAGTTATTATTTTACGTGTTATTTTAAGTTGATCTTAATTCCTGTATATATATACAACATGAAAATTTTGGTAATTGGAAGTAGCCTCAGAAAATAAAGAACAGAGTACAAATACTTTTGGTAGAAATTTTGCTCAGAAAAAGTTCAAGTCATTCAAGGTCATGCCTACATTGCAATGTTCAAGAGTGAGTCTGTTTCCCTGATCCAGAAGAAAGTTAAGAGGTAGCACTGTCTTAGTCTTGCAACACTTGCAGTGAGGGTCTGTTGCTGTCAGAAGAGGGCTGGGAGCTGGCTGGGAGGATCACAGAGGAAGTAAGCATGCAGAATTTTAAAAGTGCACACCTGGCATTCTCATAATACATTTTATTCCTCCTTCTTTGCAAGTTTGACAACTGACCTCTTCCTCTCTGTTATTTTTGTCATTTTCATTTTCTCTGTCATGTTGCCAATTTCAATAATTAATTTATCCATTATAAACTGGATGCTTTTCTTTGAAGAACAACAACAAAAAAATGAAGGTATCAGCTTAATATGAGATTTGCCTGGCAAAGCTTTAGGGCCAGTTTTATTCTCAGTGTTAGACTAGATTATTATAGTAGGCTGTTCTGGTCTTAAAAGCTCAGACCATGAGAGTAGCTTCTGCAGGTCCAAGAAGGGAGGGTAGAGTCTTCTTGTACTTGATCATTGCAGTCAAGTGCCACCAGCTGAGTGCTGGATGCCATTGTTTACTGGTCCCTTCTGCTGTTTACTGCAAGTCACAATGGCTTTCTGATGTTTGCGATCAACTGTGACAGCCTCCCTTAGATTTAGTCTGGTTAACCCTGGTTTTCAGGCTGTGGTTTTCAGCCTGTGGTGGGAGCCTGAGCATCAGCTTCTGAGATTGTAACTGAAATGTGGGGCACTGTCTGTGGGACTCTCTGGGAGCTGATGGGTGCTCAGATTTCTGTTGGTGGTGAAGAGGATGAAGAGGACAGAATCACTGTAAACAATGCATTAGTAAACCCATTCTTGCTGTTAACGTTTCTGCGGTGTTTATTTCCTTTTTCTTCCTTTTTTGCTCTCAGGTTATGTGCATATTCAGATGCATCTCGTGAGAGGGGATGACCTTGCAGTGAAAACTAGCTTCAGCCTTCCTCTGAAGCAGTGGTTTCGACTGGATCTCTCTTTTAAGGGTGGACAGGTATCCTTGCTACTGAATTACAAACTAACTCCTTAACAGCTGAGGTTGAGAGAAGCACTGTAAATTGTATGTGCTTACATAGCAAAAAAATGAAGAATCTAAAACTAGAAGTTGTGAGGGGATGTTCAGACCATCCAGCTTTGGAAAATCAACTTTGATTGAGTGGGATTAAGTGCACCCTCAGCAAGTTTTCTAATGACACCAAGCTGTGGGGTGTAGTTGAGATGCTGGAGGGAATGGAGGCCATCCAGATGGACAAGAACAGGCTTGAGAGGTGGACCCAGGTGAACGTTGTGATGTTCAGCAAGTCCACGTGCAAGGTGTTGCACCTGGGCTAGGGGAATCCCAGGCACAGGGTAGATTGAAAACAGCCCTAGGGAGAAGGACTTTGGGCTGTGGATCATCAATAATCATTGAATCCTTAAGGCTGGAAAAGACCTCAAAGATTATCGAGTCCAACCTTTGACCAAACAGCACCATATCAATTAAAAGCACAGCGCTGAGTGCCACATCCACTTGTTTCCTGAACACTTTCAGGGTTGGTGACTACACAGTTAACATGGGCATCCTGTTCCAGTGCTTGACAGCCCTTTCAGTGAAGAAATATTTCCTAACATCTAATTTAAACCTCCCCTGGAGCAACTAGTCAGTGTAATAAGTGTACATATAACATTTTTTTTTTGTAATTAATATTTTGTGCTCTTTTAGATAGAAGTAAGCAGTGTTGGGAAGAATTTGAAAAGACATCATCATCAATCTTTTACGTAAGTAGCATTTTCCTTTAGTGGAGTAATATGTGTGTGTATGTTCAGATACAGAGAATGGGAGAAGGATAACACAAGTTTGTAACTGAGATTCTAATTGATTTTGAAAATGTGTATGGTCTTTTTCTACAGTATGCTTTCAAAACCAGTTTGCTTTATTGTGCTTACATTAAGCATGAGCTGAATATTTTTTTAATGCCATGAGTTAATGTAGTGCATGATCTAGTACTAGAGTCTGATAGCCCTCACTAAAAACTGATTGGCAGATCAGTGGCATTAAGATCAGTCTTCAAATGAACTTTTGGCCTTACTGAAGTATAGTTTTACTGTTGCTGTGATAGGTAGTATTTCACCAGGGAAATGGTTACTTGCTTTGCTTAGTTAGAGAGCAAAATATCTACCAAAAGTATTCATACTCTGTCCTTTATTCTAAGCATCTGGATATATTTTAAATGGACTTCTAGTTGTTTTCTTTCACTATAATTTAAGATGGACTCTTTCTTGTGCAAGTAATTAAAAAATGACACTGTTAATAAGGGAACTACATAACAGTGAACTGCATGGCAGACTTCAGGATTGTTCCTTCTCTGCTATGCTTTAAATCCAGAAATTGATAAGCTGCAGATGATAACTCTAGGAGACAGATAATTTAAATTTTCATATGCTGGTTTTAGAAAAGTGAAAGGAAAAGTAGAATTAAAAAATTGAGCTAAAGTAATAATGCATAAACTATCAAAAGATATTTACAGGTCAGAAAAATAAAACGCCCTGCTGGTTTAATATGCTTGTAGACAGGGAATTTGTTAAGTTTACTCCATAAATTGTCACATTAAATTGCAGAGTCAATTTTGAGAATAAACAAATGACAAAAGAAAAAAGTACTTGCAATAAGCTTAAGACCATCAGTTACAGAAATTCTGAGAAATACTAATTTCTCTTTCTTCTTTCACAGTACCTCTAGATAGTCAGCTTACTTCTCTTTCATGTTCTCAAGTTTTAGGGAAGATTTCTATTATGATGACACTGCTGGATACTTTGTTCTGGGAGGCAGTGGGTACGTAAATGGTATTGAAGCATTCTTTGGCCCTGTGAAATACTATCGCCTCAATGTGTTGGAAACAGAACAGGTAAGCAAAAGCACTGCTTGGAAGTGCTGAAATATTAGCAGCCAACTATGACTATATTTTATTTTTTCAGATGGAGTGCTCATCAAGTGATAAACTAGCTATGAAACACAATAGTGCCTGGGAACATATGTCATATATGATAATTTACTGTTGAAATCTAGTAGTATTAGTTGCCATTTCAAATGCTAAAAGATAATACTTTGGGAAGTGAGTGTGTAAAACAGTGTTTATAGATCTGTATTTAATGAGGACATATTTTTCACTACTGCTTTGTTCTGAAAGTTTCTAATGATACAGTGTTTATATATTTGATATATTTGATGGATATAATTGATGAATCAGTTTTGGAAATTCATCTGTGATTTTTGGATTTTGCTGACCATTTAAATAGGCAATGGTCTACTGTGGCCAGCATCAGGTTGTCTGACACACTAACATGATGTGCCAGATAAGCTGATTGTAGTGAACAACCTGTTTCCTTTTGTTATTTGTGTACAATGCAGCTTTCCAGTGGAGCATACACAACAACAGATGGGATGTCACTTACCCATCATTTGCCTTTTTACAGATTTCTAATCCTCTTCATGACAAAGACACAGTGGAACAAATTGAACTTTACTACGAGAGATGTATGGACATTCAAGAAATAGTTTATGATTACAGATATATTGTAAGGCAAGGTGAAAAAGCACACAGAAGTTGTAAGTGTTGATCTATAACATGAATTTTAAACTGTCATCTTTGGAGACCTGTTTTCTTTCCTTTAACAATCTGGATATTGATCATCAAAAGTAAAATTAAATTCAGCCATAACAAGAAAAAAATGCAATTTGAAGAGTTTAGTTTCATTACTGGTAGCTAGAACTGGGGTTTTGTCTCTGCAAATACTTTTGTGTCATGGAATAAAAGCTTGAATCGTCTTGATTTGTCTTCTCTATTAAGACAGGTGCCTAAAGGAACAAAGAAATACTCTCAAGCTTTCACGTATGCTATGCAATTGCCTTACTTCCATTTTATTTTCAAAATAACCCTATAGGAAAATGAGTGGATTTTGCTAGAATGTTTCTGCCACAGTTGCCTAACATTCAGTAATTAACCAGAGTTTCCACTTTGGTGAAAGGAGAATGACATAGCTTAATTGTTTACTGAAAATTAGCTTATGTTTCTAATTAGAATTCGATTGAATGCATTGTGACCAGAGTATGTGAGAACTCTAAATATATTTATAAGTGTCCTGTGCTAGCTGAGAGAGTTTTTAGCTTTGTGTTAAGGGTGTGCTCATCTTGTCCATGAATTTTTAGTTTGCTAGAAATTTCTTTTTTCTGTCAGAAACTTATTTTCAAGATGAAAAGTCAGCTTTCATATCTAAATACTTTGCTTTCTCTAGATTACTGTGAAAACTATTATTTGGAGCTGATTCACAAATATGGAGAAAAATCTAAATGTGATGCTTTCACGTGGGGAAAAGAGCTCAGGGAAAAGTACCACACTTTGTTCAAACTGTTACAAGAGATGGATTTCAGTAGTCCAGATGGTAACGATGTTTCTTTTTTTAAATTATTCTTAAATAACAATATTTGTTGTGTAGTTTAGTATCATTTGACTTAATGTATTATACATTTTTTTCATATTAGCTAACTTAATAAAGGAGTGTTAAGTAGCTTATATGTTGTAATATGCTGCAGGTGGAAGGCTGGCTTATTAGGTAGAAGGAGTCATAGAAATATCTTTGTAGTGGTTAGTTACTTTGAGATGGTCTTTTGGATTTTTATTCATCCTTCATATTCAATAATAACTGTTTCTCTAGGAGTTTTGTCTGCATTGAGAATACCATTCAGCTTGAGAAATAACAGAATCTGTTATTCTGTCTGTTATTCAGTTTCTGGGGAATTTGGTTCCTAATTTTAACCCTTGCAGCAACTGTGTGTTCTGTATTTTATTTTTAGTGTTAGAAGATGGAAGTGATACAGTTGTAGAAGTTGGCCGGAGGATATTTGAGAAGGTTGTGAAAGGTCTGTCCAGTGCCAATGGCCTCAGCAATTTGGGCTCCTCTGTCCCTCTCCTGGTGGATTCCAGCTGTTGTGGATACCATAAGGCTTCCTATTTCCTTGCAGTTATATTTGAAACAGGGCTTGGTGTGCCTGTGGATCATATAAAGGTACTGTATTTAACATACGCTGTTATATCTGTGAAATTCATTACCTTTAAAGACTGTTAAGAAATGGGACGATCCATTGAATTTAAAAAAGTGAAATGGCCCTCAGATCCAGGTGGTTGAAGGGATTCTTCAGTAAAGCTACTAATAAATATCTTTATGGCAGTGATATCTTTATGTAGGCCTGATGGTGGGAATCCTTATCCTGCTCAAGCAGAACAAGGATATAGTAAACATCTGAAAATGATAGTAAAGTGAACAGCATAGAAAGTACTGCTTTTCCTAGTCACTGAGAAGCCAGGATGAGTAACAGCCCTTGAGTCACCCACAGTCATTTGAAGACAGGTAGGAAAAAAGTCCCAGATCAGTGCAAATCTAAAGTGGAAAGGTTACATAGTGCAGTCAGGAAAAAAGTCTGATTTTAGAGTGTGCAAAAATGTGCCACTGAGTATATTATGGTAAAATGAGCAAGGGTAACCAAAGTAGATCAGTTTTCTTCTGTAAAAAAGTGACTGTGCCTCAACTGAGCAACTGCAGAGTTTGAGAACTCCTGACCTCTTAGGCAGGTTACAAATAACTGAAATGTTTCAATGTGTTCTAGGTCAAAGAAAGGGAGGGTGTTTGTATATCAGGGGAAGTATGTGGTATAATAGTAAAATATAAAACACTCAAAAAGAATAGCTGATCTGTCTGTTGTAGTTAGAGGACACTAAATCAGAAGAACCTCTTGCAGGCCAAATAGAGACAAAGCTTGCCTGTAATTCTTCAAAAACAAGAAACCTTAGATAGGAACATTTGTTATACCCTAATTATAAAGTATACAGTGCTTATTATGGAGGCTAAGTCATTTCATCATTGGATCTCCTTCAGGTAGTGTAGGAAACAGTTTAATACCCAGCACAGATGGGACACCACTGGCTTTCTTACTGTGCAGGTGAAAATAATAGTAGTGCTAAAAACATTTTTTTGGGAAATGTGTGGTGCATGGACCAATTAACATGTACCTCAAGGGAGATTTGTGCTGAAACATTATCAGCCATAGATTCCATCCTGCTAGTCCTGTCAGATCCTGAAGTGCTGTTTGTTAGGTTCCATATGTTTCCACAGAATTCAGTGTGAAAACTCCAACTGGCGTCAGTGGGACTAGTTAAGTCACTGCTGAGTATAAGAAGTGTCAGAGTATAAACAACACCGCAGCAAAATAACATTAAAAAATTGCTGCACATTTAGCGATGACAGAATAAATGCAATATTTGAAAATTATTTAGAGGCTAGTTTTTCTTTCCAGTGTTTCTGTGCAAACACAAGACATTTTGACTACTTTATGGCTGTACTTGGTTCTGTAACTGTGTTTACATAATATAGCTAGTATATTAGCTACCAGTATGAACATTCTGTTCCCTCTAAATTTCCTGCAAAGTGCTTAACTTGTGAAATGTGCAGTGAGTTCACTCTTGTTTATCTCTGTTGATTTTTGCCAGGGACTGCTGTATAGTTTGGTTGGTGCTCAGGGGAACGAGAGACTTTCTGTGATGAACCTTGGTTATAAACATTACCAAGGGATTAATAACTATCCACTTGATTTGGAGCTGTCATATGCTTATTACAGCAATATTGCAATAAAGACATCCTTGGATCAACACAATATAAAAGGGGAACAGGTAAAAGAGTTATAAGTGTATCTGAATTTGTTTTCTGTGCAAGTTATTTTTTATATTCGTGTTATGTAGCCAGAAGATTTTTGTCTTGATTTGCAAATATTGGCTCATCTGATTCGTGTCCCTGCCTGTGGCAGGGGTGTTGGACTAAATGGTCTTTAAAAGTCCCTTCCAGCCCAAATCATTCTATGATCCAATGATTGCTAGAAAATCCCCCAAATTATATGTAGGTATCATTACTATTTTTCTTAGGAAGGGGGAATCAAAATCAAAATGAGACTCAAATCCTCAGAATTGTCCACAAGCCTGTCGTTCGTCCAAGCCTTATTCTTGGCCCCTGAATCCTCACTCAGATTTTTAATTATTAATATAATTGGATGTGTTTATTAAGCCACTGATCTGCTGTTTCAATAGACAGACATCATGAAGTTCCTGCAGAAGATGAATTGTTCTCTCTATACTTTAACCTTTTCTATAATCAAATATAATGACTTGGTTGTTAAATAGTTATCTGATAAAGTTACAATAAAATTATTTTAGAACAGGCTGCTAAACTGGAAGTAACACAACTTTATTTGTAGAGAATAGTCAAGGTAGGTTAGTGCTAGAATCCTGGCTTATCAGAAAATATGATTATTGTACAAAAAATAGATTCTAATTGCTGAAGAACTAAAATCTGGCAGACTTACCTAGATAAGAGTGCTGTGGGTCAGGTCTTCATCAAGCTTTCTGCCAGTCTTTTTTTAATCTTTTGAAAGCAATTTCTATAGAAATACTAAAGCCTTGAACTACTTAAATACACTTCTTTGTAATTTTTAAGTGCATTTAAAACCAAAATATGGTTTGGGGTTTTTTTTCGGTTGTTGGTGTCTTGGCATATCTTTCCAGAGTAGAATGGATTTACAGTTTTGGAACAAAGCAGTAAATGTTTTTTACAGTGGATGTAAGAATGGTTCTTAATGCACTGGCCAACAGAGGAGTGATGAGAATTTTAAAATCCAGACCTGATAGTGAATTTTTTAGGGATAAGCAGGAAATGGACAACATTTTCATTTTGGTAGCAGGTGTAGAAATCCATTGTGAAATTCATGTGGAAGTTAATTTTTTTCTGTTCACCTACTCTTCAGGCATTTGTTGAAACTATAAGACTGATGGATGATGAACTGCTAAAAGCTCAAACAAAAGAAAATGGTGATGTCTTTATGTGGTTAAAACATGAAGCAACAAGAGGAAATGCAGCTGCACAGGTATAAAGCAATACATTTCCCCATTCTTGGTTTTAGACACACTCAGGAATGTACATCTATAGACCATGTAGGAAAGTTGCAGAGGTGAGCAGGCTTTTCTCCTTCCACCCAGAATTGCTTCTTTTTTCTGAGCCTGGACTACTTTTCATATTCCTGTTCAGTAATATCCAGTAACCATGCAAAAGCCATAAGAGTGATGCAAGGCAGAAGGGAAATCTTGAAGTCTTGGCAGCCTCCTTCTCTGATCCTTTTCCCTGCCTTTGTATTTGATACATTGCACTTACTGCTGCTCATCTGAGACCAGTAGCAGTATATTTTAATACCAAGCCATTTACATGGATCAAATCTGTCTGTCACTTACCTCTGCACTTAAATCAATCCAGACTGTATGATACTGACTGCTGTAAAAATAAGCCTGCTGTAGAGTTAGTATCAGTACATTCCACCACTGAAAAGCTCTCTGCATATTAGTCAGTTCTTTTCAAGCTGTTGAGGGTGTATACTAGTTTCTTCTCATATTTGAAATGCATCTAAGCCTGCAAAAGTCTATTTCTGTAATTCCAGTTTCAATACTTGCATTTATAGCATTACTACTTAAGTTGTTTTATTTTAGCAACGTTTGGCTCAGATGCTGTTTTGGGGCCAACAAGGAGTGGCAAAAAATCCTGAAGCTGCAATAGAATGGTATGCAAAGGGTGCAATAGAAACAGAAGATCCAGTGTTGATATATGATTATGCCATTGTGTTGTTTAAGGTAAGTCATATTTCACGTTTTCACTTAAAATCATCGTTCCTATAATGTGATGTTTTAAGTTATCTGCAGTGACACCCAATAAGAGTGTATACAAGTGCTTTTAGATTTACTCTGAAAATCCATCAATAGGTATGAAGTTAATGTTGATTTTTATCAAAAAGAGGCACAAAAAGTTTTTAAAGAGCAAGTTAAAAACAATCTTACTTTATTCCTATCCATATTCAGGATCAAAATACCACCCAAATTATGGATCCTAATTTTTCCTAATGACTTGTCACCTCAAGAATCCACCCAGCTAGTAGGCATAGGCTTTGGTGTAGGGGTGTAGGTAAAAGTTTGATCCTTTCTTAGAATGCCCTTTATTAGGATTTTTTTTAGTTGTAATTAAATTATTGCTGCATGCAATTAGTTTTTCCCTGCTAGAAGCAGTAGACAGAAGATGCTAAACTGAAGCATGACCTCACCTGAGTCAAAAGAGGTGTATCAGCTAAATGATGTCACCCATAAGACATTCAAGCACTAAAGCCTAGAAATATTGCTGAAGAACTGTCAGGTCTTCATCTTATTCCTTTGACAGTAGAGGGTTTTTCTCTTGAAAATGTTTGTTTAGGTTTAGCTTGTGTTAATTTTAAGCACACATAATATTAAGCACACAGGTAAAACACATTATCTGTTTTACCTGTGTCTGGAATTATTTTATGTGGACATCATAAGCTTGATGTCTGTATATTTCCTCTAGAGACACTCTTAACATCCTTTTTCAGGACAGTTGAGAGCTCTTAATCACTGCCAAACTGGGCACAATCTATGCCCCTTTGAATGCTGTTCATTCTTCCTTAGTTGATCAGAATTAAAGATCTGTGGTATTATTTACCCATAAAAATCGCTTGAATATACTGGTGAAATAATTGTTTCTAGACTGAATCATTGAGATATTGTAAAGCTATGAAGGAAGGATGAACACAAAACTGCTTGTTTTGTTGTAACTGTTTAAAGCTGAATGACAATTAGTAGGTAATAGTATCAATATTAAAAGGAATTTTGGATGTGCATAAGTGAGTTTTTATTTGTAAACAATGGTTATTTACAAATAAAACATTTGTAAACAATGGTTGTTTCACATATATGTTTCCTAGGGTCAAGGTGTGAAAAAGAATATAAAACTCGCATTGGAATTGATGAAGAAAGCAGCAGCCAAGGTAAGATACAATGAATATTTTATTGCAGCAGTTCTGTACTAGGTGCTAATAACAATGAACACTGATTTATATAAAATGCCTGTTACCATAATTCTGTGTCATACTGCTTGCTTCTTCCAGTGTCATATTTCACCATGAATGGTGAACGCCTTATTTGCCCAAGCTGGGAGACTAGACCACTCAAAATCAGCCAAAATTTCTGTGAAAGAAAAAAAATTCTCTTTACTTACATCTTTTGGAACTTGATGTTAGTTAAGTGATTTACAGAGTGGATATTTGATCAATCCAGGAGTATGTTTTTGCCTCATATTCCTAAGCATTAAGGGAGAAGACCTGTATGTCCCAAAGTCTCCTGTTTTATTTCCATAGTAGGGAGAAACATTGACAGGCATCACAGAGCAGAGGAGCCTCACTTCATTTAATGATCTAGGACAGCCAGGTTACTCAGGCTACGATCTGGTCCTTAGAATAAAAATGCAAGAGTACCTAGAGCTTGATTATGACAGTTGGACTTCAATGCTGACCACTATCAGAAAAGATTTGTGTCACTTCTGGGATTCCTTTGAAACAAGAGAGACTAACTGATTTATTGCCTGTTTGGAAAAGGCTTAAATAAACTGAGAGGCTTTTATGATGTTGTCATGGTTTGATCAAAATTCCCTTGATTCAGAATCTGAGGAACAGCTTCCTGGAAGACTCCTAGAGACATCAATTTTTTACTCTCCTTGAACTCAAATACTTGGGTTCTGCACTTTTTCTATGCAGAAACAACATCATAATTATTGAAAAGTTTAACGGCTCTTGCATTTTAATGTGCAAGTTAGTAACACTGCTGGCATACTTACAGCCCCGTATGATCCACCAGTTTATGCAAGGAAGTGGTGACTCATTGCAACAGCAATAAAAACTGTCTCAAGATTTTCTCTTGAGCCAAGATGCAAAAATGCAACTTCGTAACAGCAAGTAGCAATATCTTGAGTTGATCTGTATGATGTTGGTGAAATGCATTTTGAAAGCAGCGTTACAAAGTTCTGCATATGTTACTTTTTATTTATTCTCAATGAATTATTCTGGTTTAAAAGAAGTGGGTTTTTTTATTGCTAATCCCATCAACCAGTTTCTGGCAGTTCATAAGAATAAGAGTTTGTCTTTGAAGAGGAGACAGGGGAAAAATAATCGCAGTTTGTTCTTGTCAACAAGTGAAAGTCATGGCTGAGACTCGGTAGAATAAAATTATACTGGAGTCTTATTTCTCAGTCTATATACAAGGCCACAGGGAAAAGTAGTGGGGGTAAAAAAGTCCCAGAAGTGACAAAAAACAGAATCAAATGTGTGACCTGAGACTGCTCTTCTCCTTCCCTAAGGGCTTGCCCCAGGCAGTGAATGGATTAGGATGGTACTACCACAATTTTAAAAGAGACTACAGAAATGCAGCTAAACACTGGTTAATTGCTGAAGAATTGGGAAATCCAGATGCATCATACAACCTTGGTGTCCTATATTTAGATGGGATTTACCCTGGAGTACCTGGTAGAAATCAAGTGAGTAAATATTTAATGGTATTATTTCTTACATTAGGGCCCAATTTAGAAGTTTTTGCCTCGTTCTTGAGATTGCTCTGTTCACCCTAAGTTGGACTTTGATACCTTTTATCATAAAGAAGGATTTTACTGGGGGATTCAGTCAGATTGCTTAGAGAGAGAGATGTTGCTCAAATATCTCAGTCAAAATTATATGCCTGTGTTTGTATTCTTTTAATTTAGAAACAAAACAGGTGCAGGTTTTACTCCTTTCAGTGGCAGCAGCCAGGAAGGATCGTGTGTGCTCTCACATCATGTGACCTTTCAGTTCTCAATTTTGGATTGGAAAGTTTCCAGGGAAGGGATTCCACAATAACTGAAAGGAGCACAACCTTGTCCCTGAGCCCATGAACAGCAATGCTATGTTCACATAGCTTCTGTGAGCCTTAGAGCTGCAGTCAGAGGCCTCCAATCCAGACTTGCAAATGTAACTATTTGATAAAGTCCTGGTAGACAGCAGTATTTTATTTTGTTTTTCTGTGACAGAACCCATTAACATATGTGCAAAATAAATTTTTCCCTAATAGGAATGATCTACTTCATTTATATTTCTTTTAATTAACTTGGAAGTGTATGAACAGCAGCAAAAATATAGTGAGGTAGACTGTAATAAATGTTGGCAGACTTCATACTTAGAGCTGAAAATTTTTTCCAGTGTGGCCTTTGAGTTCTAAGATCTGGATATACTCCAGACAATGAGCATTTCTGCTGCCAACAGCAGCAGAGCTCACCAGCATGTGCATCTGGCAAACACATTTTCCTTCCCCAGGGACCAAAAAATACATTTCATAGTGGACTGATTTTAAGAGTACACCAAAAAGTGCCCAGGTTTCTTTATTCATCAAAGCCAATGGCAAGAAGGAGTGTGTAGTCCATGCTCACTAACAGAAAGCATATATTGATGGTTAAAATTTTCCTGAAATAAATTATTTTGGGTTGTATTGCTGGTTTGGTTTACTGCACCAATTCTCTTCCTGAGGGTAAAATGTGGAGTCACACAGCCTTCCCACTTCTGTAGTTTTGGCCCTGCTTACTCATTCTGTTATCTTCTATAAACCAGTTGTAAAGATTTGAGCACTGTGGTTGTGATCTGCTGAACATACAGAGAATTGCTGCTGCTCCACAGTCTTCATTTGGCATTGCAAGTCCAAAAATTCTGTTCTCCAGGATGCCTTAATAATCTTCCTACTAGTGAATAACTAATTTTACTTTTGTCAATGCATGCAAGACTTTTGTGTTAGTAAATGTTAGTTAAACATTTAGACACTTTCCTGTTTGATGTTTCATATATTACCAAATAGATGTTTTTCAAAACTTTTGCTAGCCGAAACCATTAAAAACTTAGAATTCATTTAATCTAAGTACACTAACAGTAATTAAACTATCTTACCCTCATTAGCTAGCTACCTATATTTATTCCTTTGATGAAAAGGGTCCTGAGGAAGAAATCTCAATAAAGATTAATAATGCAGAGTTGGTAATTGTGTCTTGTTTCTTCACAGACAGTTGCTGCACACTATTTCTATAAAGCAGCCCAAGGAGGACATATAGAAGGGACTTTACGATGCTCTCTATATTACATCACAGGAAATATGGAAGACTTCCCTAGAGATCCAGAAAAGGCTGTAATGTAAGTAAAGAAACCATTTATAAAAGGAGAATATATTTCCAATGTGATTATTTTGAGTATTGGTGATTTTTATGTCTGTGGCCTAAATACCTTTTACTTCAGAGTGCTTACCTCCATGGCAAAAGGTTCTTCTTCAGTAATATTCTTCAGTAATAATTGATCTGCATGAGTATATGTATTATTTAGATGACCAGTAGATTTTAAGAGCTATTGAGTACTTTTACTACTTTTTTTAACAAGAGCAACTCAGAGAGATTGTATTAAACAAGTCTTTGTATCTAACAAAGCCTTGCTATTTTTTTTTTTATTTTCAAGAAATATCAGTGATGTGGTAGAATTGGCATTTTGCATGAAAAATAGGCAGATAATTATTGATGGCACCTATTAACTTATATTTGTTTTCTTAAAAAAAAACATTGCTGAAAAAAACCCATAGGATGTCTCTAATACATTCATAGAGATGAATGGACTTCATGTTCTCAGTCAATTGTTACAGGATTGATGCAGTGACTACTGTTAAATCCCATCGTTTGTCTTACAGAAGAAGCTGGATAGTGATCCCATATCCTTTTGTGTTCTTTGAGTCTATGTGAGTTGGGATAACATTACTGGAGCATGACCATTTTTTGTTTGTTCTATTCCACAGCTGGGCAAAACACATTGCAGAGAAGAATGGCTACTTAGGTCATGTAATCAGAAAAGCTCTCAATGCTTATCTGGAACTTTCATGGTATGTTTCTTCTGTTCTCTATATTTTCTATTTTTCACTTGCTTTATAGCAAGATAAAAGAATTAATAATGGGCCATCACCACAAAGAAAAAAAAAGCAGTAGCGCTACAAAAATCAGTTGCAAAACATCCACTGACATAAAGGGAAGGAGGACTTGACCCAAAATGTAAGTCAATGATTCTGACAGAATCAAGTGAAAAACAAGGAGTTTGTAGTGTGAAATAATTTTATCAACTGTGGTTCTCATCCCATAATATTTGTGTAATGTGCACTGGATTAACCAGAGGAACACCTTTCATTTTTACTATTCTCTCTGTTAGAATTATCTCCTTTTACCTTCTCTCTTCTGTATATTTCTGTGTCACAAAAAGTCTGGTTGCTGGATTAGATTTGTTGGGTTTGCTGTGAATGGTTAATACTGTTTTTTGTGTAAGTATAATATCCAGTGAGCCAGTCAAGACGTTTCAAAATATTGTCCAGGTTAATGCTCCATCTTATCAGCCTTGTAGGCTTGAGCATTGGATATTGTGTGTGCAAACATCAGACTGTCATATGCTATTAAAACAATGGCTCATTTAGTCCTGCAGCTTCCTCCTGTAAGTACTAAACTAGTGCTTCAGGCTAAGGAGATCTACAAGAAACTGTCAGTGGACTGTTCTGGAGTAACCCATTCCTAGAAGAAGTGTCTTTTCAGTCAGTCCATCACAGACATTTCTTCTTAGACTTGAACCCACTTCTGAACACTGAAAAACTCTGTTGATAGTTTTGTAGCGTGTTCTGTTATGCAAGCCTGTGACTCTGCCCAGTTCACTTTGCAGTCCACAAGTAGATGACAGGTAGAGAGAGCACAAAGATTCCAGAAAGTCTGGGCTCAACAGCTAGGAGGGAAAATCTCTTGGAGTCCTACTTGAGATGCGAGGGTGTAAATTGCATAGGTATAAATCATTGCACTGCCAATCCATCCAAGTAATATGTGTTCTTCAGTCATTCTTTGCAGACACAGGTTTTACACATCTGTCTGTCATGGTAGTTTGACCTTTGAAGACTGATGCAAAGGCTGTGAATGTAATTTCTCTTCTTAGTTGCCCTTTGAGACTTAAGGATCAACCAATTTCCCAGCTTTTCCTTGAATTCCTTCTGTAGTCACAGGTCTCTCTTGTACTTGATGTTTTACAGGGCAAATACAAGGAATAATTTGTAATAATGCAGAAATAGCTGGATAACAGGAGGTTACACCTGCTAGTTCTGTAAGGACAACTGCTTTCACAATTTGATTTAAAGTTGCTTTGCTTAAGCAGTTACTCTTGAAGTCAAATGTGTATTTGACCATATCTTCCAGTTAGCCTCCAGTTAAACAAGCCATTGAACCCTGAAACTTGCCATGGTTTTACCTTCGTGTTTTGGAGAAAATCATTGGCAGCATTACTCTTTAATAGGAAACTTCAGAAGGAAAAAAGTACACACCAAGTGGGGTTTTTTTATTGTCTTGGGATTTCAAAACTACACACATGATTTTAAAGACTTCCTCTTACTTTTAAATGCATAGTCTTCATAGTGTAGAGTAGATGAGTGGCAGAGAATATGAGAGATGCTCTTGTCTGGTATCAGAATACTGAATTGCTGTACTGCAAATGCAATATTAAATTTTATTACTTGCTTTACAACCAGTGAGATGCATAAAGTCCTTAGAAAAACAGACTGTTTTTCTAATCATACATTCAAATATAAGGAGATACAAATCTTTTTTCAAAAAGCTCTGTCTAAAAAGACAAGAAAAAAACAAGTCACATAAATGAAAGGTAAAGCATACCAAAGAAATACTCAGATGAATGTTAGACAGATATATACACAGCTAATTATAGATTTTTTTTTTAAGTGGAGTCTTGGAGTCTTTTAAGAATGTTTTATCTGAAATATTTAAATAGAGAATTGGGCTTAGCATCAATTTTTCTTTCTCATCAGTCTGGCACTTAAGAGTAAAAGCACACTGGAGCCAGTAGCTTCAATGCAAGAGGAAAAGAAAGGGCTGCAAATTCTTGAGATCCAGCATGGCTGGTTACACCAAGCATTGCCTGTGTATGTCGCTGTTGCATGGGTTTCCCAGCCTTATGCTCTTAAACTTTGTACCAAAATTTTGCTCATAGGCAATTTTATACATTTGCTTATTGCTTTTGGGCTTTATAAACAGTAAACTTTATAAACTATTTTTGTAAGGTTTTTCATTAATTTATTTTATCTAACATTAGGCATGAAGCTCTGCTACATTACATTTTAGCAGCTGAAACTGGGATTGAAGTGTCACAGTCAAATTTAGCACACATCTGTGAAGAAAGACCAGTGAGTAAATGAATTCACAACTCATCCTGAAAGGACCCTTTGTTAATGATAATGTGTGCCATTAGTCTCTTACCTGAGATATGAATGAAGCAATTATTTTCTTTATAGGACCTAGCAAGAAGATACCTAGCAACTGATTGTGTCTGGAGATACTACAATTTCTCTGTTTCTCAAGTCAATGCTCCATCATTTGGTATGTATAAGGAATTCTTTCTAAATTTTAATTTTACTTTTTTTTTTCTAAATTTCAAGAACTGCATTTGTCACAATTTCTATGTGAGTAAGCAGGTTGAGGGAGGGAAGATTAATTCCTACTAATCATACATTTGCTTTTTCATGTTTTAATAGGAATATCAGGGGAGAAAAGGTAATTAAAGTGTTTTATTTCAGCACAGGTTTTCTGAAAATTTTATTTTTATTGCATTAAATGGATAACATTTTGAGAAAATAAAATAAAAAATCTAAGCCCTTAGGAAGGACTAGATATTTAGGAGTCTGAGCAGTTGACTCAAAGTTTAAGAAAAAAAAGCAGTAGACTTTAGGAGCTCATGCTGTTTGGTTTATCAAAGGGAAAATCCAAAAGCAAATATACTTCCATATCATAATTGAGTCATGAGAAACTAATAAAGGCTAAGCGATTCCTTATCTAATTTATTATTAGTTTTCCTCTTAGGGTACAGAGTTTATCAGCTTACCTTGGAGAACTAAAGGATTCTCTAAGGTCTATTTGCAAAAAAGTTACATTTTTCAGGCCTTAAATTTTACTACATCTAGGCTTCAATAACTAAGTCGTTTTGGTGCCTCTGAAAGTTTTATTGAATATTTGAAAACATTGATCTGATTGTCTCACAAGAGCACTTCAGTGATTTGTAACAAGCATGTGGAAAAGTGGAGTGTAAAAATAATTCATGCTATGTATTTAAATACACAGTGTGGGAAATTTAAATGTGTGGAAACTGAATACCACATGGATATAGCCTGAAGGCAGAGGAGCTGACAAATACTGTTAGCTTTCCTGGGAGTTTGTAGACACCTCAGCAAGGTGTAGTTTGGTTGACCCTTTGGTAGAACCACTGGTACAAGCTCACATTAGAAAAACTTCTGAAGGTCAGACTCATAGGATGGGAGGGTCATTCCATTTCAGCATGCTGTAAAAACACGTGGGACTTCTTGGTAGCTGCTGTAGATGCACAAGTCAAAATATAGAAGAGTTTCAAACTATCTGAGGAAAGCTTAGGTCAGGTAAGTGTAGACACAGTCATAAGAGTTTTTAAACCCAGTAGCACAGAGTAGTGCAACATCATGCTTGCTCCTGTCTGGGTCAGTGCCCTCTCTTGATGCATTTCAATATGGGGCAATGTCACAGAAAGATGTTTGTAAAATATCTGCTAGGCATTGTTCCCTTTTAGACTAGGAAAATTATATCTGTACTGTTGTCCTCGGTTAAGGTGCATTTGAAACTAATGAAATTATCAGCAGTAACATTCTCTAACTTTTGGGAAAGGTTCAGCCACCATAGTGTCAGAGCAAACACATAGATGGCATAGTTTTAAGTTTCATCAATTTAGTAGGGCTAATCTGACTAAATAAGGCTTCAGGTTGTCCAAAGATAGATTGAGTTGCTATAAGTAGTCTAAATGATCTTCTGCTGGTTTCTTCTACAGCTTATTTGAAGATGGGAGATTTCTACTACTATGGCTACCAGAACCAGTCTAAAGACCTTGAGCTCTCCATGCGGATGTACGCCCAGGCGGCCTTGGAGGGTGATTCACAGGTGGGTCTGCAGTCATGGCAAAACAGCAGTGTAGAACAATTGGAGAATTTAGCTGTGACTGGTTCTTCTGCTTGGCCTCATCCACACCAAAGAAACCTGCTAGAATAAGTTACTATTATTTCAGAATACCTTGTGAGTCAGTAGTTGCTGTTTCATAATAGAAGATAAACTTAGCACAGATTAATGGTCTTAGAATTAGGCTGCTTTGTAAGCTAAAGGTAAATGGCCTAATTTGGTGCTACCTTACCTTGACACAATTGACTTAGTTGTGACCTCAGTATTTTTGCTATTCCAAGAGGAAGAATTAATAGGCTGCTGGGTTGTATTGCAGTCCTATCCTCTGCCATTTTATGATAAAAAAAAGAAGTCTGGCCCATTTCCCTTGATATGTTATACCAAGTGAATCCCAGGGTGAATTGTGTTCACTAATGAAGGTTTCTTCTTAAAATGCTTATAATTAAAGAATGCACCATGTCACATTACCAAAGGCATGCAGTATTTCACCACTGAGTTTCCTGTTCTCAGGCCCACCCGAAGTGTCCTGGATACAATATTCTGTTCTCCCTGTCCCTACAGCAATATTCCCAGATGGTGTCTTGTATGTGAATTTATCAAAGGTAGCATGGCTGGGTTTTGTTTTGAGATGAAAAAGACAAAACATAAACTAAAACTGCTAAAACAAAACTAAGCTAGTAAAGGAAAGAAGAGATGCATGAATAGTTACTTTAAAGTATGAAAGTCAAAGTGATGGGGAATCCTGTAAGATGTCTCATGTTTGTTCATCTTCATGACTCTGAAGGGACAGAGTGTTGCCTAAGACTTGTCCAAATAAGCAAAACAATAAGATTAAGAACTTAAATTGTCTGGAGGAAATTTCTGCTCTCAATTTCACTATTCAGATTCTTTTGATCTGTGGAGCTATGTGAAGGGGAATTGAAAGTAAGAGAATAGAAATCCATTTCTGCTTTCACTCTGTATCTCCCTAGGAGAAAAAATGACAGTTTGATATGGTGACTGGGCTTAAAGAGCAATTAAATAAGAAATAAACCATCTGGAAAAATATATGAGCTAAGAAAACAATGTCACAACATCTGAATGCTTCTTTTGCATTTTCAGTATGTACCTGAGTATATGGTTAGGAGAAAAGGCTCTCATAATTATTCAGTGAATATCACATTATACTAAACAAATTTAGGAAAGACAGTTATAATTAGACAGTTATAATTAGATAATTTGTGCTTAAATACAGATATGAAAATGTAATGTTCAAAAAGTGCATTTTTTTTACTGTTAGGGTTTCTTCAATTTGGCCCTTGTCATGGAAGAGGGCAACTCCATACCTTCCTACATTCTGGATCACTTGGAAATTGATCAAGCATTGCATTCTAGTAATACATCACTTCTTCAAGAACTCTATTACAGGTGAGCCTTTTTTACCCTTAATCAGCATTTTCTGGTTTTCCATGTAAGTAACATTTACTCTGGAGGACAGCAACTCCTGTAATTACTAACTTTGTTCACTTTTGTGATTTTAGGCAGGTTAAAGTCAACATACTCAATCTTAAATTCCTAAATATATTTCAGTTTATGTCTGTTAAAGAGACCTGATTATATGTGATTACCTGAAACATCAGGGACTGGATTCAATAATCCAGGAGGTCTTTTCCAATTCAATATATTTAAGTTCCTAAGTTAGGCATTGGTGATTTGTATGCAGTTCAAACCAATATTTCAATTCCAAATGTAGCATAATTCAATACAGAATTGAAAAATGTGTAACTGGGATAATAGTAATCCTCCCTATTGATTCTGCAAATATGTCCAGGCTGGCACAGGTTCTGTGGCACAGAATATTAGATATCTGAGGATGTTACCGATCTGCTGCCTGAATGACCTGTGCCAGCACTATTCATGGACTAACCACCTAGTGTCTTCTGGTTCCAGTAGAGAACTTGGGTTTTCTTTACTCAGGTAAAGCAACAGATGTTGGAAGGTACAGTGGGAATGTGAAGCTTACACAATATTTGATTAATTTGTGGAATTGCCTTTCAAATATTTGAAGAAGCAGGAGCTAATGGTCAAGACATGAAGCTGTGCATGATGAGTGTGTGGTTTATCATCTGTTTTGCTAGAGTGAACCCAGAAAGGTGGAGATGACACCAACGTTGAAACTTCATTTGTCTCTTCACCACAATCTGATGTAATTGTTCTTCACTGCAGTTAGACTGAACTTGTACCCTAAATTGCTTCCAATGCACATGAAACTGCTAGTCAGACACATAGGGGTTCTGGAACATCTGGGATTGTAAGCTTGAGACTGAATTCTGCCTTTACTTGGACTGAATCCACCTGCTTTGCTGTGAGAGTAATTCCAGAGTTGATCATGCTGAAGGGTTTTCCTATCATCATATGATTTTGTCCAAAATGGTACATACTTTTATATATTTATATATATACATATACACAGTCTATGACTTTATAAATAAATTATATGTATATTTATAACTATATGTATGTAGAAAAGGTATATATATATATATATACATATATATATATACACACACATTATCACTCCCTCCTTAGCTTTGTAGAAAAGAATCAATTGAAGTTTAAAATACATGCCTGTGATTTAGCTGTCTAAACTCCTCTAGTAGAGGGGAGTAGTATTTGATAGAACTAAGAAAGCTGCTCAGATCACCCTACAGAGCTAGGTATCTTGTGCTAGTCAGCTAAAACACTCTTCAAGCTCTGACTTCATTTTATTATATAGCATTGTCTCTAAAGGAGTTTTGGCACCAGTATTCTGTGTAGGGAAATAAATTTTGTACATCTAATTTTTAAATCAAGTCCTTCTGCTGTTGACTCATATTAGTTAGAGCTTGAACTGTGACTGCTTTGAAAGTGTAGCCTGGATGCTTAGACCTATTGTAGACTAGTAAGAAAATAAAAAGACACACTTCTAGAGTAAGGTATTCTGTGCTTATTAAGTTTAATCTGGTATTTTTCTGAATTTTTACTTCACCATCTGTGAGATAGTGATGATGATATTTGTTTGTTTTTCTGGAGTACTGGTTCTGCAAACACATTTGAGATTCCCAGATGATTGATGCCACAAAATTGTGGAGGAGGATTAATTAGTTGTTTTTATCTTCTTGTTGTAGGTGCTGGAATAGTAGTAACCAAGAATCAATTAGTCCATGTTCATTAGCATTGCTTTATTTTTACATGAGAGTTCTCTGGAACAATGTTTTACATTCTACTCTGGTATGTATTGCTCCTTTATTACATGCACAGTTCATTTGGAACTCTAGCTTGGCTTTGCATTGCTCTAACTATGTTATTAAAATTATTATCACAGATCTACTTCATGGGAACCTTTATTTTATCGATTCTTGTTGCATTTGCAGTGCAGTCTTTTCAGTCTTTATCTGGTAAGTATGTGTCATAGTAAAACTGAAGAAAGAGGAGTGATCTTTTTAGGTCAGTAAAACCTTCCAAAATGAAAGCAGAATTCTAGATTTGATAGAAGTACCTCTGAGCAGTAGCTTCTTTAACACATAAGTCTTTTTTTTGATCATTAAAAAGGAGTAGATGAAGAAAAGCATAACTTTAAACCTGTTGGTTTCTGAAGAACTCTTGCTAAAAGAGATTCTTGATAAAAACTTTTACCTGCATGTGATTATTCCCCATCTCTCAACATGCAGTCCTGTTACAGTAATTATATGACTTTGATGTAGTCTGCAATATGTAGTCTAAGTGTGTTTCCTGTTTCATAGGATTGGATCTCTTCTGATGCAAGGTGGGAAAGAAGTGAGGTTCTAAGAGCTGGTACATTGGAGTAACTTAGTAGGAGTCAGTTCAGGCTCTTAACACCAGTAACAGAATCAGCAAATGCATTTAGTTAGGAGTTACAGAACCTGTTATAATAATTCTGAAATCCTGCTTTCTGTTCTTACTAGCTATTAATTTATGTAACTTGGGAATTATGCAACAAATTTATAAAGTATATAGTTATAGGTATTCTTCTTTCAGTATTTTCAAACTTTTGAGTATTATCTTTAGATGTAATTTTACATCCACATAATACTGATTAATAGACTTCCTAGACACAATGGGGTTTTCTTAAATAATTTCTTTTGACATTCTTCTGAAATCATAATTCTCCTGGAAGAAGATCAGAACCATTGTCACATGATGTCCCTTGTTCCTTAGGGAATGACAGTGAGGATGCTACCAGAGCAGTACCACAGGAAGAACCTACTCTTTCAAATGATTTATCACAGCAGGAGTCAAACCCTCAGAGTCCTCTTGTCACCAGCTGAAGTGGAGTTTTCTTAAGGTTGATGTCCACTGGGAAGACAGGATATGAACAACTACGAATCTAAGAACTGGCAACCAACCCTGTACATGGCATTAATAATGCAGTCCAACAGCTGAAGTTGTAGGGAAGTTTACTGATCTGACTTCTCCAATGTAGAGGAAAACCATCCCTATAATTTATTTAACTCCTAACAGATGATGCAGATTATCTCAGTGTACCCAACACACGGCTATACTGTATATTATGGAAGGACCTGGAAGGAAACCTACAAGGTCTTTGCCTAATTGAAAAATAAGCAAACATCCCACAGGTTTTCATGAAGTTTTACTTACATGTCTAATTTCTTATTAAATTGCTTTTACTGCATTTGAGCTTATTTATTGTTGAAATTAGCAAAGTTTTCCAAGTCTGAATCATGGAAATAAAATAAAAGCGAAACCCAGTCACCAGTACTTTACAAGTTCTATGGAAACAAGTCAGGATTTCAGTACATGCAATAGTAACAATGATATTTTTGGCATTTTATATTCCATGCTGATTTTTCAATGTGAAAGTGTTTTGTTTTGAAAGGAAACACACCAGGAATATTTGCAATTTGGTCATAACATACTAGTTATGATTGCTAAGTTTTAGTCAAAGTTTTACAAGCATCCACATTTCCTGGTGGACATGACAAAATGTTTCTCTTCCTGCCAAGAGACACTGATTAGAGAAAGGAAGTCCCTAATGAGTAGATAAAAGAATATTTAAGTGTGATCAGGTAACACAAAGTGAATAAAAAATTATTTTTGTATTCTTCTGTAGATAACACTGGCAAGGATTTATTTCATGTTCTATAGTGATTCTAAAAGACACATATTTAAATTACAGTTTATTTGATAAATGTTGAATGCGACATATGGATAACATATATGGAGTGCAAATACCTTCTGATTTAAAGCTGTCTGTAAAGTGGCTGTAGGAAGGGTCTAATTGTTACAGCAGGTGTGCAGTTACCTCTGCACAATGATGTAGATCACAGACTATAAATTGCATCAATCTATGCATTATTGAGGGTTAAATCCACTTGCCTTGCACTACATTATTTACTCTTGTAAATAAAAATATTTTTTTATTTCAGCCTGTATGTGGAGGAATTTCTTTTAAGGCACCTCTTGGATGAAATGCTATCTTTCTGTTGCAATTTCTCACGATCATTATTTACATGTCTGTTGTCTTAGCTTCAAATGAGACAATCAGCTTTCACTTTCTTTGAGGAATACAGTCTTCTCACAGAGCAAACCTGGAACATTTTGTTTTGTTTTTCAATGCAAAAGAGCAAAGCGTAGGAGGTTTCAGTAAGAAAGGAATGATTTAACAGGAAAAAAAATGTTCTGACCTTAAATAGAGATTTTTATATTTATGTATGTCTATACATGCATACCATCAAGGCATGTTTCACTTGCAGAAAACTGAAAACTCAAAAGTGTTGAGAGAAGAGTTGATGCTTTGAGGCAGCAGCCCCCTTGATAGGTCATGGGATAAAAATGAAGATGTTGAAGCTCCTCCCCCTCTGCTGAGAAAGTAAATTGTGTGTCACATTACCAAGTTTCTCCTTTATTTGATCAAGAACTGTGCAAAGAATACTTTTTGTTCTTAGTACAGTTGTAGATACATATTTTTTTTCTTTCTATGTATAGTGGATATTCTAATGTATTAGAGAGGACCTTGACTTTTACATAGTAAACTGTTGTACTCACTGGGGTTAGATTATGCATATTTGATATCCATTGCAAATGGTCCCAGGTCCCTGTTATTTTTGAGTGTTTTGAGTTGCAAAAACTTGTACAGCTAAATTTGATTATATCAAATTCCTTAACACAAAGAGATGGTATTTCAAGAGCCATCTCAACTATTTTTGTCACCTAATAAAAGAAGACTGTGCATCCATATTAAAACTGGGGCAGGTTTAGATGGTAAACCCAGAAGCATTGCAGGAAGTCAAGTGTAGCCTTTGAAGACAAGCAGACAAATGTCACAGCATAGGCACAGCGTTAGGTTAGGTACCAAATGGCATGCACAGTTAGATGTTCACAAAATACTATTTGGGTGTGCATAAGACAAATCCTGCTTATAGTTAGCTACACATTAAAGGTGTATTTTTTTACAAGTGTCACATGTAGCAGAACTGAAGCACCTGGTGAAATACTAATCCCACGGGAGTTTGTCGGTGGTGTGATTGCAGCCCATGTGTTGCAATCTGGGAGTTCTCCAAGCAGCAGTGGTTTAGATTGTGTAAATACAGGTTAGAGTTAAGTGTTAGCACTCCAGCTCACTCTGTTTTCCTCACCAAAGCCCATGTTCTGAACTCTAGTAATTAAATAATTTGAAGAGTTCTGCCGGAATTCAGCTTCTATATTTTGGAAGGCAATTGCTGAAGCTGCAATATATTTCATTATGCCAGCAGCTAATAGTTCCATCTTTGTTTATTGTTACCTATTACATCAGAAGTTTTACCAAAGTATTTTAAGATAAGCAGCTCTTCACAATAAACTGGCAATCCTGAAGGCTAGAATAATATTAGTTACATTATTGTCCTTCAATTCTTATAAGATCCTCCTTATAAGATCCTGTTGGCTATTGACAACCTAGAGTTCCATTCACAACCAGTGAGAAGAATGGTTACTTATGCAAAGCAGCTACATAGTTCTGCTACATCCACAAGGAAAGCAGGGAGAGAAGGGGAAAAGAGTTGCTGCATCAAGAATTACTTTTCATAAATTGAAACATGATCATTGAACTTTATAGTTTCTGCAGCCTATGTTGAGTGTTCAGGGTGGGAATAAGGAAACAATAAATCACAGTTGTAGAGCTGAACTGCTGTATATAGTTTGTTTATACACATTTGATAGAAGTCCAGCCATCAGAACAATGCAGGTCATGCATAAGGCAGTGTAAATGATGACCAGTTTTTTTCTCCCTTGGTTCTGCTCAGAATCATCTCTAGCAAATAAATTATGGTCAAAAAAGAATTTCAGAAGGGCTATTTACAAAGTAGGTGCCAAGTTATCTAAAATGAATGCAGTTTACACCAAGTAAATGGATTTGTGTGTTACAGAAAGTGACAGGGGAGAGACATTGCTATGTGCAACGTATCAAGCACTGTGGGAAGAGGGAGAATCAGATAGGTGGAGATAAGCTAAGAAAAAGAAGTCGATGTTCAGAAGTTCTGAGTAGTTACCAACTACAGCTTTATGAATGAAACAATTCAGACCAGTTATGAAAGATTTCCATCTATGCTGAAAAGTTTGTTGAGCTCTGAATTGCACAGTAGGGTAGTAGCAGGACAGCACCAAATGCAGAGGGCATCCATATGGGGGTGACCACTGGCTCACGGTGTTGCTTCCCAGAACATACAGTGAAGAGCTTTGCATCCCAATAAATAAGCATGAGGACAGACTTAAAAGTTCTGTATTAATACCTTGCAATATCAATGTTAGTGATAGAGGGGACACTTGTGAATTACTCCTGGTATCCTGATTATATATTATAAACATACCCCTTCCTGGTATTTTTGTATTCCCATCTGAGCTACTGGAAGAGCATAGATGATGTTTAAAAACCACATGTGAAACATGGATTATCTGTGAAGAGAATTGATTTATAGCAGATTTTTGTCTGTGTAAGCTGTCTCCACTGAGTAATGGACTGTGACATTTAACACTGGCTGTTGACCCTTATCCTGAATGAAGGATAGCAGAAAGGCATGAATCAAGTTGAGTAAGCTTTGGCAGAGGAATTCCACTCATACACTCTCTCCTTCCTCACATAAATGTGTGAACTCGATTAAAAGACTGGGATGTAGGAAGAGAATAAAAATAAAAGGCTGGATTTTTTTAAGAAAAAGCCCAAGGGGAAGAAAACTAAAGAATGTCAAAGGGAATCTCAACATGGAGCAACTTCTTATGATATTTTCTAAGATGTAGAAGACATCATAAGAAGTATTGTTATTTTCTTGGTGTATTCTTGTTCTTCATGGTGTGTTCTTTAGTTGTTCCCTGGAACAATTAAAGGAACAATTACTGAATAATCAACAGAAACATGTAAATAAAAGAACTGCAGCATCTGGAATATAGGTATGTTGGAAGTGCATCACAGCTTCATTATTTATCTAAATACCTAATTCCTATGCCAGGAGACTTCATTATATTTGCAATAAGGAAAGTAACACTGAGTCTATAGCTAATTAGAAAATCAGACCAGATAAGCAGAAATTAGTAACCCAAATGGAAAGGAAAACATACTTGCATTATTGCAGTATATACTTGTGTAACAGTTACAGTAAGCAAGAAAAGAAACCAAAAACCACAACCAAGCAGAAGCCAAATCCCCTGCAGCAGATCTGCAGGTTGCCAGAATGATCAGCAGATCATTCTGAGGCACTGATGTTCCAAACTGAAATTGTACCAACAGCGCTGAGTACCTGTTGACTTAAGGGACTTGGGTTATTTGACAAGTGCTATCAGATACCCATCCACCTTTGGGCATCTAAATACCCCCTTAAAAGAAAACTGGCTGCAACAGCTTTGTTTGTAACTGTTCAGGGATCTTTCCATTAATGTATTCCTTGACCTTGCTTCCCCCCCAAGTTTGCATTTTCTGATTTATGTTGTTTCTTTTGTTTGTCCACACAGACCTCTCCTTAATCACTCATGAACTGTCTAGATAATAGCTCTTAATTCTTAGCATTGCTGTTTGCTCTTATCAGTTATGCCAGGTGAGCAGGAAAAACAAGTCCATTAGCAAACCTAGCACCCTTTTTTGATAGTCTGCCAAGGCAGGAACTGAGATACCTGCTTGGCATTATCTGTCTATTAACAGCACGTGCTGAGAAATTGATTTATGCAGCAAGTAATAGTGCAAGTTATAAGCAAATCTCCCTGGATAGACTTGTAATGATAGACTAACCAAGGCCAGGCTCTGCTGTCTGGTTGTGATGAGTTAAACTTTTTCTGTGAGCCCATTTATCTCGTCTGTTGCTTATTGGACCAGTCTTGGTCCATAAAGTGGTCAAATGGTGCTCAGCCATTGTCTAGGAGGATTATTTTCAAATGAGCTTGAGCTACGTCAAGCAGCACACCCCCAAATAGCTGAGATAGTTGCAACCCAGTACCCAAGCATATCCTCCAGACCTTGTTCAGTTTGGTTGTGCAGATGAACCAAGACTGTCTCCCTCTCTTACAGGCCATGAGGCTCCATTCCACCCCCCAAACAAGGACTGAGATTAGTCCTTCCAATCTCACCTGCCTGTTTATCAGTGTGAGCCTTCCAGCTGCCCCAGCATGGTCAGAGCTGTTTTGAAGGCTTGCTTTCTTGAGAGAAGTGTGCTCAGCCTGCGTTTGTAGAACACAGGACAGTCTTTCCAAAAAACACCAGTACTGCCTAACTGGAATGAGAAATTAGTGCCTCCACTCATGTTTCATGGAGAGCAAATTGTAGTTTTTCCCTTCTGCTCTGCAGAGATAGTTGTGGCAATAACACTGTCCCTGCTTCCTTGTCCCATATCAGTTTTGTCTTCTGTCCTGCCCAGGTGACAAGTTTTAGAGGCTCCTATCTCTCGTCAGTCCTGCATTGCTCTTCCAAGCCAGCTCCAGTTGCACATGGATAGCCTTTCCAATTTAATTTTTGAGTTAAACACAGTACACTAATCCCAGAAAACATATTAACCTTTGCAGTTCAGTTGTTTACAACACCAGTAGGGGAAACCCAGATACACCTACTCTAATGTAGAAAACTCTAGGCTAGTTCATTAAACAAATATTAGAAGTCGCAGAAGATCAGGCAACCTGATCAGGACAAGGAAGTGGGTGAGGCCTTCTAATGGCAGCTGTAAGTAGTCTCAAAATCACAGGCACCAGCTCCTGTGAGTGAGTTTAACTCCACTGACATCAGCTGCAGAAACAACAGAGCGAAACATAAGCCTCCATCCAGGAGTTTCCTGGAAAGCATTGATAACAGCTTCCTGACACAGGTAGTGGAGCTCCCACAAGGAATAATGTGCTTCTCAACCTTATGCTTACAAACAGGGAAGGCCTCTAAGGTTGGAGATGTGAAGGCTGAGGGCAGCCTTGGCTGAAGTGACTGT